GCTCACTCTCTGCCTGTTGTCACGATCATCTCCTCGCCGTGCACATTCGTTGTCTTCGAGGTGATGGTTGTGATCTGCGACATCTCCTGCCATGCTCAAGGATTCGTCGGCAGCTCAAGCAACTGGCCAGCATCAGCGCTTGAACATGGGACGCAACAATTTGGTACAAGGGGGGTGGGTAGTTGAGAGCCCTAAGTCTTTAAGGTTCCTTAGGGTTCCTTAGAATTCCTTACATTATTTTAAGGTTCCTTTGGGGTTCCGTAGGAGCCTCAGGGAATCCCCCGTTGAACCAACCCCCCTTAAAGATTCCCTAGAACAAGGGCCAAAAACACGTGCAACACCAAATCAAACGCCATGGCTCTCGCAAGCTTGCTTGCGCCGGGGAACTGGTCCAAAAAGGCAAGTGACTGCTGTGCACCCAGCTCGCCTGCCGAGGCCGCTCCAAAATAACAAAAATGCAATTTCCATGATTTCCTCGCGAACCCCCTGCACCTGCCAACCCCCTGCCCCCCAAAAAAAAACATAAGCTCAGGTGATATCCCCAAGAACGTTGGCGGAACCCTGTGGAACCCTGGTGGAACCCTGGTGGAACCCTGGTGGAACCCTGGTGGAACCCTGGTGGAACCCTGGTGGAACCCTGGTGGAACCCTGGTGGAACCCTCGTGGAACCTTACCTCAGGGCCACCCGGGACCACCCCGGAGCCTATCTGGGCTGAGACCCCAAAGCTTTCAGCTGTTAGGGGCAAAAACAAAAAAAAGGGGGGCTCAGTCTCCCCCCCCCCCTCCCCGCCCCGCTCCTTGCCCTGCTTCTCCAAATCCGCGATCTGCTGTCCTGAGCTCTCAGTAGCTCATGCCCGGCAAACATGTATCTGGGCAAGCCATGATTCACAAGTCTGAACTAAGTCTTCAAGGATCAAAAACCTCCATCACAGGCGTGCTTTTACCAGAGTCTGTGATCATTTGCCAAGATCTATTCAAACCTGGCGGGCATTTGTCTCTCAACTCCTTCCGCATCGCCTAGGATCCCGCTTGGCACCATTTCACCGCACGTTCGGGATCGGCGCACGGACAATTGGTCTCCACATGGCTGTGGCTCAAAAATTGGTACCCAAATGGCACTTTGGTACATGGAACCAAAGACTAAAACCTGCGTAACCCCAAAGGTAAGCCTAAAGCAGCTCCACGAGTACCGGGATACCAGCAACGCTATCAAACGGTGCTGGACAAAATGCTCGCCTCAATTGGCAGCCGTGTTGAGAGAGATTCACCTGGTCCCAAACTAAGATGGACATGCTGGGTTCAACACCCAATTTTGCTTGTGGCGAGTTTGTGCTGATTTGGAAAGATATGCCGCTGAAATGAGCTCAAGAAGAGGCAAGCAACACGGCTCTCAAACCCCCAAGACTGCAGTTCAAGCTTCTCTGGATGGATGGAGGGGCAATCTCCATACCAAGGATGATGTCGCGGATCTCGCTCTGCGTCAACGAGGCAACGTTGACGTTGTTCTTCTTGCCTTGGCATGCAGACTATGCGAGCGTGCGGCAAGGGCGTTCAGCTAGTTGAGCAACCCTCTGACCGAACGAGCAAGGTCTAGCCTTTTTTATGGACCTCCAAGGGGGGGGGGCTGTGGGGAGGGGGGACTCTTGATAAGGCCTCAGTTTGGGCTTATCCTTGGCTTATCCTCATCCGAGGATAGCCCCCAGGCCCTCTAGCCCCCCCTTCATGAAAAGCCATGTGCTTCCAAAAGGTCCTTGTGGGGCATCTGGGGTCATCCGGCTGCTTTGATGTTCTTTGCCTGACCCTGAAACACATGGCAGGTTTCCTCAAGGGAAACACCCAAAGATATGGTTTCCAAATTGGACAGCAACCACAGTGATATTCAATATCGAGGTCCTGTGTTGCTGAAGCAAGCCTGCCTGCAACAATTATTTTTCGACTCTTGAGCTATGGGCCATTTGGGTCTAGGTCTGGTGTTGCAAGGAATGCAACATGAAACTCGACACTACAAAAGGGTCAACCGGCTTCCAAGCATTTCCACGTAGGCTAAGCATTGTGCCATGGCACAATGAAGATCTCTCAAATGGTCAGGACAATGCTTGACGTTGTTTGGTTGGTTCTTCCGACAAGGGATATGGCCATGGGTCAAACCCCCGTACCCCCGGTGAACATCCCAATCCCCACTAAAATAGACTAAAATGGGTGGTGGTACCATCAGTTTTGAACCAACCAACCAACCACAATGCTGTTTGTAGTCCACTGTTGGTTTGGGAAGGACATTTGGGGAGCCAGCTTGCCCAAAAGGCAAGGAGACAACCCTATTTTCCCATGTTCTTGGGCGGGGAAACATGTGTGACTTTGTTGGTTGCGCATGTGAGCCGGGACAAAATGGTGTGGAATCGGGGTGACCCCCCCTGTCCTCCCAAAACTGACAATACACTATGTCCGTTGCTGACGGTCTCGGGCCCATCAAACTGACATGCTCAGCATTGTGCGTTTGAAGGGAACCCATTTTTGGAAGTACCTTTGAGAACCCATGTTTAAAGGGAAACCACCCCAGAACAAGTAACTTTGAGAATCTGTCAAATGGAACCACTCTAAGGAACTTGTGGTAACACCCAAATTGCGCTTCTTTTCGCTTTCCTGTAACCCAAGCTGAATTGGTACGGGTACCCTCAAACACATGCGCACACACACACACACACCCATGTAAGGAATGTCTGCTTTGAACATCACCCCTTCAAAAGGTGCGCATGCTCAAACAGCCCCAACCCGGCCCAACCTAGGTGGTAGGCTAACGGGAAACCATTCCAGTTTCTGACTTTCATAACCCGCAGGAATGAAAAAAAAAAACATGACCCCAGTGCAAGGGCTGACTCTTGGCCCAGGAAAGCCATGCGTGTCCTCAATTGTTAGTAACCTTGTTTGCAGTGTTAACGGGAAGCCAACCGGAAAAGTCCGTCGAGCATTTTGGCGGGTCCATCAAGAAAACATGCCCAAATAGGGTTCATTGGGACTCCACTCCCCGATTTTGGGTGGTGTCCCCTGGGTGCCCCTGAAAAATGACACCCATTTTGGAGCCAGAGGGTCTCTCCTGGTCCAAGCGAACCTAACTCTAACTGTCTGGGTTTTTTGAAGGCAAACCAAGCCGGATTTTGAAGGTCCCGGTCCGGCCCCCCCCGAAAAATCACATGAAACACCCATCTTTGATGCCAGAAAATCCCGAACATGGTCCTCCCCCGCGATTTGGTGCCAGAAATCCCGAAAATAGCCCTCCACCCCGCGTTTTTTGGGGGTCCCCCAAAAAAAAACACACGACACGATCCCATTTTTTCTCACTTCTCGCTTGGGTCACCGTAGTCTGCCAGGATCAGATCCTTCAGCTGCACCTCCACGTGGATCCACTCGTCGTCCGTGAGGCTCGGCCACACGTGGTGGGGCTGCGTCACCTGAAAACCCGTGGATGGCCACTGTGACAAAAGCCAGAGTCGATAGGGGTCGCGTATACATATATCATATATAAATTGATTCATGTGTTTTACACCAGGCAAATGGGGGATTGATCATGTTTATCAGGGTATCCTCTCGGTCAACTAACCTGGAACTGGGCCTGCGAAACGGCGTACGCGCCCTCAAATTTCTAAACTGGAGGGTGGGAACGCAGGTCCAACCGAATGATGGCTCGGCAAACATGAGGATCACCCCATGAGTGACAAAAGCCTGGTATAGCATTGGGAAAAATCACTGGCTGATGCCTCTTCTGATGTTTCCGAAATAATATCTGACATCTTGTGGTTGGCTGAAATCCTCCTGATAAAAGTTCCGTTTGAATGGTTCATGACTCATTTCGTTCATTCGATCTCTAACATGTAAAAGGCCGAAGGCCCACAGCAAGCCCAGCCCTTCGTAGAGGCTCCCGGCGTTTCGCACTTTGGCCAAATCAATCAGAATCTGCGTTTAAAAAACACACACAAAATGTTGCCGTTGGGAAAAGCGTGGCCAACCAAGCTACCGATCCGAGGTGACGGGAAGCTGAGCTAACCAAACAGTGACGCACCAAAGGGATCCTTACATTATACACCTAAACATTGCCTTGTACATGGTGGTTTCCCTGTATTTTGGTGGAAAATGCCATGTTTCAAATGGTTGCAAAATGTAGATCTTTTAAGGAGCCCTGACCAATCCGCTCTGATGCTCCCAAAGGTTTCAAACAGCTCTCTCTGTGAAGGCTCCCTACACAAGTGAAGCGCAGCTTCCCTCGCGGGTAGACCAAAACTGCTTGAGGTTCCGTCGTGGATAGGGCCCCCTTTATGAGGTGTCAAGGGCAAACAAAATGGACACCGACCAGCTTTTAGACCACTTTTGTGTGGGCATAATTCCGAAAAGAAACCGAGCCTCATTCCGGTGCGTGTCCAATGCGCCCCAAGCATGCCATCACTTCCAAAAGGGAAACCCTTGGGAGGTTGGCTACCTTGGGGTTGTAAAAACAAGGCACCCTCCCAATCCTACGACCGCTGCCATCTTACTTGAACCGAGAAATCACTAAGGATGTCAGCAAAGGTCGTAGAAACATAGGGTCCCGACCCCTCTTTTTGGTGATGTTCCTTGGTTTGCTCTCCAACGCTGAGAAAGGTACCGTGACTCAGAAGCGAAATAATAACCCGCCCGCCCATCTTTGCCCAAACGACCCTCAAGGCAAGTGAAACAAACAATCACCCGTGGGTCAGTCCTGCCACACCACAAAACAGGAAAAATCCTTGGTCTGGTTGCGGGGAAGTCCCCCTCCAAGCTCTGCGTAGTTGTCTTTTCTCACTTGCCCAAAGGCCTGAAAATGAAAGGTGAAGCTCTGAAGACCTCTAAACGAGGGAGTTGGGTGTGGGTCAAATTAGGATTTCCACCGCAAAAAACAACAAAAAACAACCTGGCAAATGGAAACCTGGACAAAACAAACAGCGGTCCAATTCCTGGTGGCTTCAACATTTGACCCACACCCCAAGTTTTTATGCAGGGTCACAAATTTATTTGGGGACCAGTTGGTGGACATCCAAATTCGGTGGGGATTCATGTCCACCAACCTCAATTGAGGTGGTTCCCTATTAAAACTCAGGCTAACCCCCCAAATAGAACCCTTGTAAATGGAAACTGACACCTGCGGTCCAATTCCTGGTGCTTAAAAGTTCGGCCCATATCCCGACACCTGGACCCAAAAAAGCCACACAGTCCAATTCCTTGCTTCAAACACTTGGCGCCACAGCCGTGAGTTTGTTTCTATTTCTCCCCCTATCCCCTTGGTTGACGTTGGAAGGGGAGCAAAAACCTATTTTTTAGCAGTTCAGTGGTTGGATTTCAACCACTCAACCACAAACTCGGCAAAAAACATGTAAGCAAGACATGTTTCCCAACCACAAGACCAATGTCCCGAGAAATCGGCCGATGGCCGAGAAGTCGCTCCGAATTCCGAGCGGCCGTGGTCTTGTCCGGCTTCAGGATCACCTTGGTGCGGTCCGGGTTCACGTGCAGCGCCCGCAGGATCAGGATCATGCGGCCTGGAGGCGCGGCGCAAGCGGGCGACAAGCGGCGGCCAGGGGGAAGCGGCGGGGGGGCCCACTCCAAAACGGCCAGGAAAAAAGAAAAGTAAAACAACAAAACAACTAGGGGGCCCACCAAAACGGCCAGGAAAAAAGAAAAGTAAAACAACAAAATCTAGGGGGCCCACCAAAACGGGCAGGAAAAAAGAAAAGTAAAACAGCAAAATCTAGGGGGCCCACCAAAACGGCCACGAAAAAAGAAAAGTAAAACAAAAAAAACTAGGGGGCCCACCAAAACATCCAGGAAAAAAGAAAAGTAAAACAAAAAACAAAAACTAGGGGGCCCACCAAAACGGCCAGGATAAAGGAAAAATAAAACAACAAAATCTAGGCGGCCCACCAAAACGGCCAGGAAAAAAGAAAAGTAAAACAACAAAATCTAGGGGGCCCACCACAACGGCCAGGAAAAAAGAACAGTAAAACAAAAAAACAAAAACTAGGGGGCCCACCAAAACGACCAGGATAAAAGAAAAGTAAAACAACAAAATCTAGGGGGCCCACCAAAACGGCCAGGAAAAAAGAAAAGTAAAACACCAAAATCTAGGGGGCCCACCAAAACGGCCATAAAAAAGGAAAAGTAAAACAACAAAATCTAGGGGGCCCACCAAAACGGCCAGGAAAAAGAAAAGTAAAACAACAAAATCTAGGGGGCCCACCAAAACGGCCAGGAAAAAAGAAAAGTAAAACAGCAAAATCTAGGGGGCCCACCAAAACGGCCAGGAAAAAAGAAAAGTAAAACAACAAAATCTAGGGGGCCCACCAAAACGGCCAGGATAAAAGAAAAGTAAAACAACAAAATCTAGGGGGCCCACCAAAACGGCCAAGAAAAAAGAAAAGTAAAACAAAATCAACAAAACTAGGGGGCCCACCAAAACGGCCAGGAAAAAGGAAAAGTAAAACAACAAAATCTAGGGGGCCACCACAACGGTCAGGAAAAAAGAAAAGTAAAACAGCAAAATCTAGGGGGCCCACCAAAAAGGCCAGGAAAAAAGAAAAGTAAAACAACAAAATCTAGGGGGCCCACCAAAACGGCCAGGATAAAAGAAAAGTAAAACAGCAAAATCTAGGGGGCCCACCAAAACGGCCAAGAAAAAAGAAAAGTAAAACAATAAAACAACTAGGGGGCCCACCAAAACGGCCAGGAAAAAAGGAAAAGTAAAACAACGAAATCTAGGGGGCCCACCAAAACGGCCAGGAAAAAAGAAGAGTAAAACAACAAAATCTAGGGGGCCCACCAAGACGGCCAGGAAAAAAGAAAAGTAAAACAGCAAAATCTAGGGGGCCCACCAAAACGGCCAGGAAAAAGAAAAGTAAAACAACAAAATCTAGGGGGCCCACCAAAACGGCCAGGAAAAAAGAAAAGTAAAACAGCAAAATCTAGGGGGCCCACCAAAACGGCCAAGAAAAAAGAAAAGTAAAACAATAAAACAACTAGGGGGCCCACCAAAACGGCCAGGAAAAAAGAAAAGTAAAACAACAAAATCTAGGGGGGCCACCAAAACGGCCAGGAAAAAAAGAAAAGTAAAACACAAAAATCTATGGGGCCCACCAAAACGGCCAGGAAAAAAGGAAAAGTAAAACAACGAAATCTAGGGGGCCCACCAAAACGGCCAGGAAAAAGAAAAGTAAAACAACAAAATCTAGGGGGCCCACCAAAACGGCCAGGAAAAAAGAAAAGTAAAACAGCAAAATCTAGGGGGCCCACCAAAACGGCCAGGATAAAAGAAAAGTAAAACACCAAAATCTAGGGGGCCCACCAAAACGGCCATAAAAAAGGAAAAGTAAAACAACGAAATCTAGGGGGCCAACCAAAACGGCCAAGAAAAAATAAAAGTAAAACAACAAAATCTAGGGGGCCCACCAAAACGGCCAGGAAAAAGAAAAGTAAAACAACAAAATCTAGGGGGCCCACCAAAACGGCCAGGAAAAAAGAAAAGTAAACAACAAAATCTAGGGGGCCCAGCAAAACGGCCAGGAAAAAAGAAAAGTAAAACAACAAAGTCTAGGGGCCCACCAAAACGGCCAGGAAAAAAGAAAAGTAAAACAACAAAAACTAGGGGGCCCACCAAAACGGCCAGGAAAAAAGAAAAGTAAAACAACAAAATCTAGGGGGCCCACCAAAACGGCCAGGAAAAAAGAAAAGTAAAACAACAAAAACTAGGGGGCCCACCAAAACGGCCAGGATAAAAGAAAAGTAAAACAACAAAATCTAGGGGGCCCACCAAAACGGCCAGGAAAAAGGAAAAGTAAAACAACAAAATCTAGGGGGCCCACCAAAACGGGCAGGAAAAAAGAAAGTAAAACAGCAAAATCTAGGGGGCCCACCAAAACGGCCAGGAAAAAAGAAAAGTAAAACAACAAAATCTAGGGGGGCCCACCAAAACGGCCAGGAAAAAAAGAAAAGTAAAACAACAAAATCTAGGAATCCCACCAAAACGGCCAGGATAAAAGAAAAGTTCAACAGCAAAATCTAGGGGGCCCACCAAAACGGCCAGGAAAAAAGAAAAGTAAAACAACCAAATCTAGGGGGCCCACCAAAACGGCCAGGAAAAAGAAAAGTAAACACACAAAACAAAAACTAGGGGGCCCACCAAAACGGCCAGGATAAAGGAAAAGTAAAACAACAAAATCTAGGGGGCCCACCAAAACGGCCAGGATCAAAGAAAAGTAAAACAGCAAAATCTAGGGGGCCCACCAAAACGGCCAGGAAAAAAGAAAAGTAAAACAACAAAATCTAGGGGGCCCACCAAAACGGCCAGGAAAAAAAAAAGTAAAACAACCAAATCTAGGGGGCCCACCAAAACGGCCAAGAAAAAAGAAAAGTAAAACAAAAAAAACAAAAACTAGGGGGCCCACGAAAACGGCCAGGATAAAAGAAAAGTAAAACAACAAAATCTAGGGGGCCCACCAAAACGGCCAGGAAAAAAGAAAAGTAAAACACAAAATCTAGGGGGCCCACCAAAACGGTGGTAGAAAGAAAATTCAAACAAACAATCTAGGGGGCCCACCAAAACGGCCAGGATAAAGGAAAAGTAAAACAACAAAATCTAGGGGGCCCACCAAAACAGCCAGGAAAAAAGAAAAGTAAAAACAGCAAAATAGGGGGCCCACCAAAACGGCCAGGCTCAAAGAAAAGTAAAACAGCAAAATCTAGGGGGCCCACCAAAACGGCCAGGAAAAAAGAAAAGTAAAACAACAAAATCTAGGGGGCCCACCAAAACGGCCAGGAAAAAAGAACAGTAAAACAAAAAAATCTAGGGGGCCCACCAAAACGGCCAGGAAAAAGGAAAAATAACAGTAAAACAAAAAAATCCAGGGGGCCCACCAAAACGGCCAGGAAAAAAGAAAAGTAAAACAAACAAATCTAGGGGGCCCACCAAAACGGCCAGGAAAAAAACAAGTAAAACAGCAAAATCTAGGGGGCCCACCAAAACGGCCAGGGAAAAGTAAAGCAAAACAAAAAACAAATCTAGGGGGCCCACCAAAACGGCTAGGAAAAAGGAAACGTAAAACAACAAAAATCTAGGGGGCCCACCAAAACGGCCAGGAAAAAAGAAAAGTAAAACACAAAATCTAGGGGGCCCACCAAAACGGTGGTAGAAAGAAAATTCAACCAAACAATCTAGGGGGCCCACCAAAACGGCCAGGATAAAAAGAAAAGTAAAACAACAAAATCTAGGGGGCCCACCAAAACGGCCAGGAAAAAAAAATAAAACAGCAAAATCTAGGGGGCCCACCAAAACGGCCAGGGAAAAGTAAAGCAAAACAACAAAACAAAACTAGGGGGCCCACCAAAACGGCTAGGAAAAAGGAAAAGTAAAACAACAAAAATCTAGGGGGCCCACCAAAACGGCCAGGAAAAAAGAAAAGTAAAACACAAAATCTAGGGGGCCCACCAAAACAGTGGTAGAAAGAAAATTCAAACAAACAATCTAGGGGGCCCACCAAAACGGCCAGGATAAAGGAAAAGTAAAACAACAAAATCTAGGGGGCCCACCAAAACGGCCTGGAAAAAAGAAAAGTAAAAACAGCAAAATCTAGGGGGCCCACCAAAATGGCCAGGAAGAAAGAAAAGTAAAACAACAAAATCTAGGGGGCCCACCAAAACGGCCAAGAAAAAAGACAAGTAAAACAACAAAATCTAGGGGGCCCACCAAAATGGCCAGGAAAAAAGAAAAGTAAAACAACAAAATCTAGGGGGCCCACCAAAACGGCCAGGAAAAATGAAAAGTAAAACAACAAAATCTAGGGGGCCCACCAAAACGGCCAGGAAAAAAGAAAAGTAAAACAACAAAATCTAGGGGGCCCACCAAAACGGCCAGGCAAAAAAGAAAAGTAAAACAACAAAATCTAGGGGGCCCACCAAAACGGCCAGGACAAAAAGAAAAGTAATACAAACAAATCTAGGGGGCCCACCAAAACGGCCAGGAAAAAAGAAAAGTAAAACAACAAAATCTAGGGGGCCCACCAAAACGGCCAGGCAAAAAAGAAAGTAAAACAAAAAAAAAAAAAACTAGGGGGCCCACCAAAACGGCCAGGATAAAAGAAAAGTAAAACAACAAAATCTAGGGGGCCCACCAAAACGGCCAGGATAAAAGAAAAGTTCAACAGCAAAATCTAGGGGGCCCACCAAAACGGCCAGGAAAAAAGAAAAGTAAAACAAACACATCTAGGGGGCCCGCCAAAACGGCCAGGAAAAAAGAAAAGTAAAACAACAAAATCTAGGGGGCCCACCAAAACGGCCAGGAAAAAAGAAAAGCAAAACAAACAAAAAATAGTCGGCTTCTTAATTTCTGGCGGCCAAATTTGGGGGAAAGGAAACAAATTTGTGGAACTGCGTCAACTTCCATTGGCGTTTTCGCCCCCTGTTCACTACTAAAAATACGTCCAGCGATAGATTCCCTTTGAAACCAACAGGAGAAAATAAAACACATTCTTAACCAAATGGAAGCATTGGGGTGTGTCTGTTTTAGGGAACCTCCATTCGGTTAAAACCATGAGTTTGGTGGGGATCCCCTACAACAGACAGACTCAGTCCTGTGATGTGTCTAACACACAAAAAGATCCCGCCAGCCAAAACGAAGATGAGTTGTTCGCTTCGTTCACGCCCAAGGCGCTGAAGGCCGTGTAGGAGGAGATCGACTTCAGCCAGTCATCATAAAGATTGAAGAGGACCATCTCAGGCTGAGTAGCCTTCAAGATCCTGGGCAAGCGCCATGAGCCAAGAGCCACTAGGGATACCTTCCATTTCCATTCTTTTCACCCAAAATCCGAATCCTTCCAGAAAACCTCCTTGGAAACCCTCCAGAAAACCTCCTTGGAAACCCGGGGAAAACGGCTCCGGTTTTTCCAGAAAAGAACGACGGTTGAAACAAATGGGGCAACGGAATCACCCCCCGGAAAGATCCCATCCGTGTTTCTCCCAGGCCATAGATGCAGTTGATATGATCAGCTGGAAAGCCCAAAGAAGAGCAACTGCGGATGAGATGAGCTGATATTTCAAATGGCACAGACCCCGACGAAAAGAACATCAGTCCGTTAAACAGGCGCCTTCCTCCGAATTTACAAATTTACGAAGGCATACTTGCGTGAGGATACCAATATCTTGATCTGAGCCAATCTCTCTCAACATCCGAGGACGCCTCCGAGAAGTGTGGAGTGTAATGTGATAATCACTGCCCCGCCAGCTCCAGCTTGCGGCCTTTCGAATTGTGGAATCAAGCATCTACGCAGTTGATTTGAGACATATTTGCACGCACTCTCAGTCAAGGTGTGGCATTTCTGGCAATTCACGCACGCCAAAAGCTCCAAAGCCTGATATTGCCAAGCAAAGGATCAGATCGCCAAACTTCTCAATCTTCATGCAGGCCTTGCCAGGGTGCGGGCTGCAATCGCCACCCGCAGGCTCTCTTTACGTTGACGGATTGCCGGCCGTCGTGGTTGCGTTCAATGCCGGGGGGTGTCTCAAAATTGGGGGATCTCAAAACGGCGGTTTCCCTTTTTAAAGCCACCAAAAAAGGGGTCCCTCAAGAAAAATCACACCCGAATGGCATGCCTGTTCCTGTGCTCCAGGGAACGCTAGCTGCATGCTGGCAACACAAATGCACACGCACGACGCACACAACACAAGAGCACACATATGTACATATGATATGTATGTGTACAAATATAGAAGTTTACGCATTTGAGAGATCACACACGTATTGTTAGCCCTCCTGGCGTGTTGCGGTTGAAAGGCTCAAGGTCTGAACTTCACTTTCGCAATATGCTCACGTTGCTGCTTCTCCAAACAAGAGCCCAACTTGAAGAATCTTGGTCATGTCGGTTTCCCTTTGAATACCTACCCATTTTCCAAAACTCCCATTTCCTCATTTCCCCCCCCCGAGTCCGTTGCTTGCAACGGACAAAAGGGCCTGGAAGGGCAGGGACAGCTCGGAGCCCTTGATGACAATGTTGGGGAAGTCCAACAAGTGCACCTGCCAATGGCAGAAAAAAACCACTGCCACCTGGCTGAGGCAGAAAAACCAGAAAAACCAAGTAGCAACCCCGCGAGAAAGTCGTGGTTTTTACCATTGAACCTTGAAAAACCACGACCTTGAAAAAATGATGTATTTCAAAGAGGGCGCCGAGAAAGAAACGAGGCGTCTGGTGTTTTGAGGTATTTCGAGGTTTCCTGTAGCTTTTGTTGGTTCAGGTAAGATTGCCTTGAATCTTTCAGGGTTTGGTTTACACAAACGCGTGTTTTACGTTTGACACTCTTGATATCTTAAAACACGCCTCTCTTGGGGTCTTAGGTCTTTGAGCTTGTAGCATCTCTTACCCTAACTTCCAGTTCAGGCCCCCAGCCACGCAAAATAGCGGGGAGGAAGCCATAGGAATACTCGGTGGCCAAATCTGCGAAGCCCTGCTAAAAGTGACTAGCTTTTAGTGGTTTCATGCGGAAAACCCATTGGTTGGCAAAAAGTTAAAGTCCTAACATCCCTTGGCAAAATGCAACAATGAACACACAATGGCATCTCAAAAAAGCGGTCTCGAACCGCCTCAAGGGGGGATGACAAAGCATGCATGCTGGCAGGTGATATGCAATCTCCCAGGGCGCCGCACAGTTCCTCACATCGCCCCATTCAAAACATGAACCCAAAAGGGGAAAAAATATCTCCACCCAAAAAAACGGGCTTTGGACCCCTGTGGTTTTTGTTCGTCCTTTTTGGTCACCCAATTTTGGGCGTTTGACCCTGTCGTTCGGAATTGTTTGTCGCCTCCAGTGGGTCCAACATGCCCTTTCGGGTCACGATGATCTGCTTGGGCTGCTCCTCCACCGGCAATGATCGGATCAATGCCGCCACCTGACGGATCCGCATCGATGAAGCCGCATCGACTGCGTCGCCCCGCGCGTGGGTGGTGAGTGGTTGCCACTGTGCTGTCCCTTTAAACCAACCCCAACAGACAAACCAATGAGCATAAGCGTCATTTTAGGGGAGATAGATGGCCCTGGTACCCTATGCTTCCTCAACGTTTTTCTTTTTTCTGTTTTAATAGGGGTTGTTTAACCCCAATTCTTTGCATTCACAACCCCTATTTTTTGACATTGGCACTGCAACCTCTTAAGTAGCCTTGGGCAGCCACATATTTCTCTGCCAGCTAAGCTAATTACAATTTCTTGATAGGTCCTCGGGTCCCTTTCGTTTCTGCGCAACGCACCTGCTGAAAGTTTTGCGTAGACAAAGCCTTCATTCTAGCAATTGTAGAATTGTCCCCTGCAATTTGCGCAAGTGGCACGAACAACAAGCAATTTTGTGCTTGCTTTTTTTCCGTTCCAATTTTCACACAGGTCCAAAGACAACGTTAGCGTAGACAAACCGTAGAAAAACCGTGGAAACACCATTTTTGGGCGTAGAATCACTATATCTTGGCGTAGAACCACTAGTTTTTGTCGTAGAACCACCATTTTGTGGAATAGAACGGGCAAATTTTGCTGGGGAACCAGAAGATCAACATCCTCATCCTGGAATGGTTGCTGTGGAGAGATGTTGGCTGTCCCTTGTTTTTGTTGGTTTGGCCAAGGGGGTGGGCCAGAAGAAGGACAGAAATGGTCAGAAGAGGGTTCACCTTCACGCGCTACATGGCCATGTTAAGAAACCAAACCACACAAATGCCAACATTAGCCCTGCAAATAGTGAAACATATTGCTGCACATGAAAATACATATTCGGCTTTGGGATCCTATGGAGCGGTGTTAGCGTCAAGTCTTTCCCAGCCCTTGTTCGAGTCCAAAACGTAGGCGGCCGCTCGTCGTCAAAAATAGCCTAGGGGGTAGATGATGGTGAACCAGGAATCGCCATCGATTTTTCCACCAAAAAAAGACACCTTTTTGTGTGGTTGTTCTCTCAACCAACCCGAAAAAGAGGTTTTCCCTTTGGCTTCCCTTTAAACCAACCCCAATGTCAGACAAACCAACCTGTGGCATTTGTCCGAAAACCGCCCCAACCGAAGAACCGCCTCCTCGGCCGTCTTCCACTTGGCCAGCTGCGAGAGCCGCTTCTGCCCCGCCCACACCGAGGTGTGGATGATCTTCAGGAAGAGCTGTCCTCACGCCGAATCTCTCGCAATGGGAAGCAGGAAGCGGGGGCCCAAGGAAAGGAACCCACGTGATTGTTTTTGCTTTAACATTCACCAACATGGTCCAAACCCCAAAAGTGATGAATTATTTGAAGCGTGGGTTTTTAGTAACCACCTGGCTGGCCAGTGGCTGTTTTTCTTTGGGGGGGGGGGGGGGGGGCAAATTAGGGGGTAATTTGCCCCCAAAAACCGGCAACGGTGACTAAAACAAACAGCAACTTGGCTATCTACTCATGTATTTTGTTTATTCACCACAGGTCCGAACCCCAAAGTGACTGCAGTCCAAAACAGCACTCAGGAAGTGAGCCAAAGAAGTTTCGCTGCCACTGTGTTCCTTGAATCGGGAAGTGGATGAAGCCTCACCACTCTCCGAATATAACCCAACAAAGCGGGCAATTCAATGGGGAACCCTCACAAGTCTCCTAACCAAGAAAGAGGAGAATGGGCGGGAAGTCGAAAGCAACTCCCGTTCCCGAATGTAACCAAAAAAAAGGACAGTTCAATGGCGGAGGTGGAAAGAAACTCCCCAACCCCGGAAAAGAACAAACATGCGGTCCGAATGTACCTTCAAGGGAGACTCTATGAAGTGTCTTTTGCGGGCACATTACTTTGGTGGGCCCCGGACAAGAATGACTCGCTCCCTCCAAAACAGCTGGTCAATGTGGGGAGAACTAATCCAGGTACTTGATCCAAATCAGCTGGTCCAGGTGATGGTTGAGCCCCCCACAAAAAAAAAAAAAAAAAAACATCAAATTGTCAGAAACGCTGCACTGAGCAGATTCCAGGTGTTTGGTTCCGCTTTGGGTTCGCTCGTTGCTTCGCCCTGGCAACATCTGTAGGAGTTCAGCGACCCTGGGAAAAAACCACAAAACATGGGGTCCGACTCACGAACAAAAAAAAGGATTTAAGCATTCTTTGAGGAAAACATGGCATCACCCTTGTTTGACGGAAAACCAAAAGGTTTTAGCAACACAACTAAGTCCACCTATTTTGACGCACACGCCCTGGTGAACATGTCAACCTAAGGATCTCTTTGAGCCCGTGAACGTTGCCACCTCGAGAACCGCCCCCGTGAAAGGTGCCAGCTGAATCTCATCTGTCAAGTACGCACTTGTCACTTCTTGACCCTTCTGCAAGACTCGTGTTTCACTTTGGGTCCAAAGGAAATTCACTTCGCAAAAAGCGAAAGTCCACGGATCCAACCAAACAGCCAGAAAGTGTTGTTGTCACCTCTTGAAACAACTTGACAACCGCAGCCACTGGTTCCGCTTCACTTTTGCTTGGCTCCAAAATCGCGATTGCATCACCTGCGATCGCAAAGCACCTCGACCCCTCGAAACACTCCGAGCGCGCTTCACAGGGATCCGGAAACAACAAAGAGGAAAGCATGTATCATCCAGTTTCACTGGGAAAGGGGCGAAGTTTCACTCTCCAAACATACTTGAAGCTTGATCTGGTCCCATTTCATGCACTCTTTGGAGGGCCTGCTTTCTCCACAAAGTGTTGCAGGTTGCTCTCAACACTCGCGAGCACCTGTGATCCAATCGTGGCTCTGGCAGCCGCTCGAATCTGGTCAAAATCTCTCCTGTGCGCGGGTTGAAGATGAAGATCGCGCCGTTCACCGGCTTCGTGGTCAGGTTGCCCTCGAAAGTCTTGTGGATCGTCACGCGATACACCTCGAAGCTGGCAGGCAGAAAAAACATGGGGTGGCTTGAAAAGATCTTGGGGGAAAACCGGCTGGTGTGCTTCCTCAACTGCGCCGAACCCAGAAAGCCACGGCCCTTCTTGCATAACTCCCGGTCGACTACCAAACTGGCCATGAAATGTTGCCAATCACCACCACTATAATTGCTGTTGATTCAAAAACACAATGACGTGGCCCAAAGACCCGAAATGATGGTCTCCCCAAAACAGCACCATCCATATGAGGCCTTTTCCCCTTTTGCTGTGGTTGCTTTAGTTCATCACATGTCGAGCGCCTTCGACTGAACTACTGAAGCCCAGCAGTTCTAACCTCTCAAGGGGATGATGTTTGCTAGGCATGCGCTTGTTGCTTCCTCCTTAAGCATCCACGCACTGAGCCCGCCAAAAGACTCCTGTCAGACCGGCAATCACCGAGCCGAAGGGCCAGAACTCACCGCAACATAGTGAAACCGAACCACATAGCAGGGACTCAAAGCATCGCAGGAAGACTCCACAAACAGGCAGAACCTTCAAGAGCGAAGAGGCCAAGCTGAGCACATCCATGTCCCACATATGATGGACAAAAACCAGCAGTTGGTAGGTAGCCTATCACAGTACTCCATCGGTTTCCTTGGCCGACATCTGGGTACAGCAGCTAACATGTTCGGACTCTATTTCACATTTATACCGCGCAAGAATACAGTTGTTGTTTTGCATTTGTTCATATCAGGTGCCTGGATTTTGCCCATGTCGATGGGCAAGGGGGCCCAGAAAGGACGCCTGTGCCAATCCCTCTGCCGTTGTTGAAGGCTGCCAAAGGGGAAGGCCCGGTATGACTTATGTGCATGGTCAACATATGCAGTTGAGTTGTAAACGACACGCGAAAATGAAGATCAGTCAGCTGGGTTTGTGGTTGAAATCTGGTGAACCCATCCCAAATGGACCAACGACTAAACGTTGTTTGACGGAATCCGTGGCCAAACTCCGAAAGAACAACCAAGAAGCGTTTTTCTTTGCACAGGGGTCGCTGGATTTCCCCTTCAAAGGCTTGCATTTTACTGGCGTCCATTTGAAGCTGCCACTTAAGATGCCAAGGGAAAATGGCTCGTATTCCCTGTGCCGTGCCCCAAACTTCAAATTCAGCGGGTTGGCATTGGTGTCATCCACGAACCAGATGATCTGAGAGCTGAAGAGCTCGCCGTAGTTCCTGCAGGGGTGCAAAAGGTAAGCACATGGAAGTGTCGGCAAAAGGGAAACACCAACTGTTGAGATGCATTGGAACTCTTCCTGTGACTTCTGCAACTTCTGGCCAGCATAGTGGCACCATGTTTGCCCTTGTTGTGCGGCACGTTCCCTGCGAACGAGTAGACAGGATTCCGAATCCCCAATCCAACGAAACTGCCGGTAAAAGTGTGAAACACAATCCCTTTCCAGCAAAAAATGCCGGTACAAGTGTGCTGAAACCCAGTTTCCCCGCCTACTTGCCAAATGAGCTTTTCCAAATGGGGATCACAGGTTCGGCCAGAATTGCCAGGGCTTTTTTAATGAGGGCAAAAGTCACCTGGCTGCGGTTGAAAATTTGTGAGTTCACTCCGTTCGTCCCTCACACATCATCCATGAATGACAATGTGTTGACCGAGCCTCACATGAGCCGCCAATATTTTTCGTATCCCCCTTTGACATTGGATTTGGTGAGTACAGTAGCCCCCGCTTCCCAATGCTATTTTCGCAAGTGTGCCCGTATCATTCCCTTGACTACATGAATCACAGCAAAGATTTGACTGCTCACATCCCTGGTCAAAACTCCCTGCGGGTCATGTTCAGGCTTATAAGGAATCCTCACCAGGGTCATCTTAGTGCCCAAGTTCATGCCGATCCATTCCAACTCCTAAGCAGGTCCTTTAACCATGGCACACATGGGTACTGTCCAAACCTGCTATTTTTGGTGGTCCACCTCAAAAAAACACACACACCCCAACATGCGTTTCCACTTTCTCCAAGGGAAGTCCGTTGAGGCACGGTACCCTTTTGCGGCGGTCTGCCTTTGCGGGCAAACCTCAAAGGGCGTTCCAAAAAATTCTTCAGGAAACCATCAAACACCCAAAAAAAACAGCCGGTGTAAAAGAACGATGGTTGAAAAGAATGGAAACGAAATCAACCCCTAGAACCTCCCCCCTTCGGCGGAAAAACCTCGGAGCCTACCCCCTTTGGGGCCACCCCCAAAAAACAAAACCCCCCAAACCACCCCAAACCCCTCTCAAAACCACCCCAAAACCCCCCCAAAACCCCGCCAAACCCCCCAAAAATACAAAATTCGCCACCAGGGCGCTGTGAGTTGAGATACGGCTCCGTGGGCTCACTGCTGTAGAGCTGCAGGCCCTTGCGGATGCGCTCCCGGAGCACGTACAGCGCCGGGTTCGCCTTCATGATCTTGTTCCTCAGTATTTTCGATCGAGGAAGATTTTGTAGATTTGGGGGGGTCCCTGAAAAGCAGGCACAATTCGAGGGGTTCATTCCAACCATTCTTTTCAACCATCGTTCTTTTCAAAGACCAGCTGCTTCCCCTGGGGTTCTGATGGTTTTCTGGAAAAAAGGATCCCTGGAAAGAATTTGGGAAGAGTCCCCTAGAACAGTGTGTAACCTCTTGGGTTGAAAAGGGGTGCTTTAGAGACCCCTGGTTGAACCCAAAAGTGTTTTTCCCGGAAGGCAACAAAACGGGGCTGGGTGTGTTTTTGCCTGCTTTTTTCCACAACCCTGGTTTGACACGTGGGTTTGCCAATCGGGATCGGGCCATTGAAGCCACCGTTTCCTGGAAGCAAATCAATGGCCTGGCTGTCAAGTTCGGGTTGTGTTTGGTGTGGGTTTCAGGGACCCGTCCTGGTTGGGAGCCACCTTTGGGAGAAGCGGCCATTTGGGTGGAGCGTGGCTTTCTAGTTCCGGATGGAGATTTGGACCTCCATTTTTCCGGTGGCTCCTTTTTGGTGTCCATTGAGAGCAACCTTGAAAAGGGTAATCACCCTCTCCAAGTTGGTGCAGACCCGCCTTCAAAGAGTTCTTTCTTTCTCCTCTGGCGCCAAGCTGTTGTTGTTGTAGCTTGCTAAAGCAACCTCTTATGCAACTTGATCGTGTGGCTTTACAAACATCAAGTGAGCTGGAAAAAAACAGTATTAAAACTCTTATCCCAGGATGTTTTTCATTACAAATCCAAGCGGCGGTCTTCATAAGAGTGAGGTCCCCCAAAAACATGCCCCTCAAGTGTATGAGGTCTCAGGTGTGTACACTGCTGCAAATTGTTGCTGGCTGCTGCTGCTGGCTGCTGCTGCTGCTGCTGGCTGCTGCTGCGGCTGCTGCTGCTGGCTGCTGCTGCTGCTGCTGCTGCTGGCTGCTGCTGCTGGCTGCTGGCTGCTGCTGGCTGCTGCTGCTGCTGCTGGCTGCTGCTGCTGCTGCTGCGGCTGCTGCTGCTGGCTGCTGCTGCTGCTGCTGCTGGCTGCTGCTGCAACTCATTGCTGGGATCTGCAGAAACAAAGAAAATGCAAACTACAGAAATGGGCCACTCCTGATCCAAGGCATCTACGACTTGCGCGCGACTTGCGCGCGACTTGCGCGCGACTTGCGCGCGACTTGCGCGAAAATTTAGCAATCTTCCGGACTCTTTCGACCATGCGGATGATGATGATGATGATGATGATGATGATGATGATGATGATGATGATGATGATGATGATGATGATGATGAATCATCACTGCGTCACTTGCGCTTCACTTGCGCTTTACTTGCGCGGCCCCATGTTTGACTTGCGGCCGCTCCTGCACACTCCTGCCATTCAAATTACAAGCGGCGGTGCAGCTAATTTGATAGGTCCAAAAGACCTGGGATCATGCCTGACATTGACACATACAACGGTTTTTTTTTTTCCGACTCAAGTGCATTTTGCTAGTGCTATCCGGCTGGCGCGACTGGCTAGTGCGTCTTGCCAGTGCAACTCGCTAGTGCTACTTACTAATGCAACTTGCTAGTGAGACTTGCTGGTGTAACCCGCTCCAGGTCTTTCCTGAAGCACTCTTCGCCATGCTTTCGGCGAAAGACAAAAACAAACAAACACACAAACTTGGAGAACAGAACTGTTTTGCAGGCCTACAAACAAACACAAAGTTAGAGGAAAAACTGCTTTGGAGGCCTTTGGCCTTGATTTTTGATTCCTGCATGCACCTTTTTGTCGAGGAGCATGGATCGGTGCAGCAAGGGCTTCACACCAGGGAACCAGTTCCCGAAGCCGCTGTGCAGGTTGTAGGCGAGGTCCACTCCCATGAGGACTCCTGAGAGTGCATAGGTTTGTTGGTCTGTTGGTGGGTTGTTTGTTCGTTTTTGTTTTGCTTTTTTTTGTTTTGTTTTTTTCTTTTCTGCTCGTTTGTTTGCTTGTTGGTTGGCTGTTTGGCCGGTTGCTTCACCATTGCAAGTCAACCATTGGACCCTAAGCATTCCACAACCATCACCCCTCACAAACCGCAGCTCCCTCTTTGCGCGGCTGTGCTCCCGGTTGGGACGCATTTGGTTTGGCAGTCTTTCAGCCCGGGCTTGTTTTTTTTTTTTTTTACGCCTGGCAAAAGTGTTGTGTGTGTGTGTGTTTGTTGTTTTTCTTTTAAGGCAAAAGTTACAAAGGCAACAGATGAAGGAGTTAAACAGATGATGGAATCTCACGAAGGCAAAGGTTAAAAAGGCCACGCCCGGCGGCCTGACTTTTCGCGGGAGTCCACGGGCTCCCTGGGCCTGTGCAGAAAATGATCACGCGCCTTGCTCAGTAAGGTGAGAGGACGCTATTCAAACGAGTCCGCAAGCTGAAGGTTTTGGCCTTAAAGGAAGGCCAGGTTGGAGAACTCACATTCTGAGATACCCATCGAGAAGGCAATTTGTCGCTCCTAGGTGCGAGATAGGTGGTGTGGCGGAAAAATACGGCACGCCCGGCCCGACGGCTCCGTGTGTTGCCCGTGCCACCCGTTGGTTCTAATAGAGGCCATCGAACAAAGCCGACTCAAGGGGGTCCTTTGTCACCACCAGGCCCTGCAGGGAAAGCTGCCGTCCGGAGTGTGACATCTACCACATCAATATTTGCATGTTAAACAATGAGCGCTTCAAACATTTGCCTTCTTATCCTGATTGGAGGAAGCCAGCCCACTGTTTACCCCACAACAAACATGCAAGCCATCCTTGCGTATCAGTGTCCCCAGTTGCCTTTTGACCCCCTTTTGGGTCAAATACAGGGACCGCTCAAAAACTACAGCAACCCTTTTGGAGATACATTGCCCTTTATGCATTTCCCCAAAGGGTCGGTCTCAAGGAGATGGCTTCCCCGGTCCGCGCGTCCGGGTGTCCTGTGGGCGAGGGGTAGATGGACATGTTGTCCGTGGTGTAGTCCAAGAACTTGGCGCGGCAGTAGCGCTCGATATCGTGGGAGTCGTAGTCTCCCCAGCGCAGCTGCACGTCGATCCAGTACTTTGTGGTGGTGGTGCCATCGAAGCCATCCTGAACCAAAACGGACATTTGCCTTTGGCAACAGTTGTGATGACTTTCAACGTCATTCAACTGGGCTGTTCAAGATGGGGACCCTCCACAAGAACCACGGCTACCATCTGCAGATTGACTAGCAGGCCACTCGCCTCTGCTGATTTGCATGTCAGCTCAATTTCTTTGAGGCTGTTCCGTGCTGGAAAAAGAGGACAAGTGCCTGTTGCCAACGTACGTAGAATTCAACCAACAAAACGCTGCGAGTGTCCAATGCCCATGTCCTGCGGAAGTCCCAACTCATGGTCGGGGGTATGAAATCCCGTCCCTTTTTGGAACCGTGAAAAGGAGGTTCCAAAAGTCGAAATCCCAGAACTGGTCCTGGGATATGTGGCCATGGGTCAAAATCCAAATCGTACCCCCAGTGAACATCCGATTCAATCCAACCACTATAGACTAAAATGGGTGGTGCATCGAAAACGGCAAGATAAATTCCCATTGGTTTTGACCCACAGCCATGTGGGCGTCTTTGTTTGAGAGCAACCCTTTGATCCAAAGGCCAACCCGCCATTTCTTTGCTGGGCCCCACGCCCATGCCTGACCCCTGTCTCGTTATCTCAACGGATGGTGATCTCAACCCGAAAGCTTCCCCCGGGAAAAACTAAAATGTCCGGTAGTGATAGATTCTAATTCTAAAACCAGCAGGGAAAAATTCGAGCAACAGATCTTAACCAAAGGGATGTTATTTGTTCGAAGCCCCCTAACGAAGGACCACTACCAAAAAGAAACAAGCTAAATCACATTGATCAAACATTCGGGGCTGCTTTGGGCAGCCCTGTAAAAAAGGCAACACATAGACGATGGCACCATGGTCCGTTTAAAGGAACCGGCCAAAATTCGCTTTGTCTCAAAAGGGCAATCCCCGAAATCGGCTTTGGTTTTCTTTTGTTTTCCCTTTAAGCACCCCTTACAAAGGTACCAAGCCGCACAAAACCCGGCACAATGCTTGATTTTGGTTCTCCAGATGCCAAGCACCATGCACTCAGCGACCCCCTCGGCGTTTTTTTCGTCGGACCTTGGACTCGGTGAGGAGGGAAGGCTTAGACACGGCCCACTTGTAGGAGGCGAAGAGCAGCACGTCCGCGCAGGAGCTGTTCATCTTGTAGGACTTGCCTCAAATATTCTCAAGAAAGGGGAAGCGGTACTCTCATCTTGGTTTGACTTCTGGTGAACCTCCAAACAAAAAAAGGGGCAAAACGGGACTGAACAACTGGAAATTATCAAACATTCGTGGGACTTCCTGCCCACCAACCACTGTGGAAGTGGTAACCTTCCTCTAGCCGGGTTTTGATTGTGGCTCATATTATATGGCTATGGGTCAAAATGAAACCACCAGGAATTGGACCACAGCGTTTAGTCCATGCTTCCTCTTCCAAGGCTCCGTTTGGGGTTGCCCTATTTTTGACAACCACAGCCATCTAACAGGGATCCTTGCATTCTACACCTGAACATTGCCTTGTAAACGATGGTTTCCCTTTGTCTTGGTGGAAAAAGCCTATGCTTCAACTGGTTGCAAAATATATCTTTTAAGGAGCCCCGTATAACGACCGCGAGGCATCCAGCAATCGAGCGGCGCGGGTGGATCGTCTCCTTCTGCACCATCTCAATCTCCAGGGCGTCCAACTCCAGATCGAAGACCTGGTGACGCTCGCTTCCCTCCGTCTTCCGCGCCCCTCGAACCAATCTATACACCAAAATTGTGACTTTCCTGTTGCTTCCCTTTGATTAAACCTTAAACTACACTCCGAAAAGGGTACCAAGCCTCAAAAAAATACAGACCACAACCAACAACTTGAAAGGGGTCCAAACCCCTCCCCCAAAACACCCTGTCTCCGGATCTCCAGCCCTGAACGGCCCGACTTCCGACTTCCGACTTGCCTGGCAGAGGTCCATGACGATACTCTCGTGGATCTTCTGCCACAAGTGGGCCCGGAAGATCTGAATCAACGAGATCTTCAGCGTGGGGATCTTGCCGTGCATGAAGATGCCAGTGAGGTCCAACTGCACCTCGCAGCTCCCATATTTTCGGAAGCCGCTCCCTGCTAGCGGCCTTTCCATATGTGGCTTTGCCTTCTTTCCGATGGGAGATCTACCCTTTTCAGGTGGGTTTGATGGAAATGAAAATCATACTTGGGCGTTCTATGCACAAAAAAGCCTTTTCAAGCGGGTTTCATGGGGATGAGACGAACCCATTGCTTTAGTGTCTCCCAGAACATTGGCTCAAAGCCTCTTCTTTTATTTGCGTCTCGGCCTGCTTTGGGCTCCAAGCCACAAGGTCTATGAGCAAATACCAATCCAAGGTGGAGTCGAACCTCCATGAGCTATGAGTCATGAGCTTCTCAGCATTCGCTGCCAAAAAAAGACAACTATTTACCCAAGAGCTCGCAAAAGGCCAAAAGCTCCGAGGCCGCTTCTGAGTTGTCGAGACCGTGCTTTTCACAAGCGATGGCGGTAATACAAGAAGCAACCCACGGGTCCCACTCCATTGATCCCTTTCGAAGGGAAAGTCGCCCGCCCGACTCGCGCATGGCAGCTTTTGGAAATCATCGGGGCCCAGAGCCAGTTGCCCTAGGAATATTTTTGGGGTTAACGATTTTGGGGATCCCCCAAAAACAAAGAGGGTGTCACTGAACAACTAGACCGCTAAGATGTTGCAGGGCGTTCTCACAGCTCCCTATCTTTGAGAATATCTTTGAATCTCTTGTGCTTTGACGCCAGAAGAGAAGGAACACAAAGCCGAACCTGTTTCTTGGACCCCAACCTGCGTTTGCCCCAAAACCAACAGTCAACCAATCAAACTTAAATACCCCTCCCCCGCCAATTGACACGGAACCTGACACAGCCACCCAGTCCCTTTGAAAGGAAAATGACCCACACCAGGACCCCCCCCTCCCCGTTTTGCCGGATTCCATGTTAACTTGCTGGTGCGATAGGTAATGTGTTATTTTCCCTGTTGGTTGTTGGAGCGAATCTATCAATACTAGACACAGTTAAGAGGAGTCATTCCATTTCTCATTCCATGACCCAGTGTTTGGGAATGAACCGGAAGGGCATTCCCTTGAAGGAAACCATGTATACACATATATAGATATATATACATATATAGATATATACATATATATATATATCAAAACGGATTCCGTTTTGTATATTGTCTTGCTTTATGGCCGAGAGAGCTAAACGGGGGGTTTGACCATGTATATATATATATAATACATATATATATATATATGGGATGGTTTTTGTCCGAGTCATTGAACCAGCAAGTGTTTCACATATTCCCAAGACAAAACCCACAGGTCGGTTTTCCGGGTTTCGTGGTTCGTTCACACCGGTCATGTCTCACTTCAAGTCGGGTTTTTCGGGAATGAACCTAGGCACCTAGGATTCCCTTGATTCGGAAACCATCTGCTTCTCAAGAAACCCGGAATCCTCAAAATGGGTTGCCCTGGCAAGTGCAGAACAAAAAAAAAAAGCTGTTTAATTTTGAGCCACATCCAATATATAGGGATGGGTTTTTCTTGGAATCATTCCCTGTCTCACCTCCCTACCTTGGAACCAGCCCACCTTCTTCCTTCGCTTCCTTCGCTTCGCGCCTGGAAGCCCACGTAGACGTTGGCACGGTTGATGGTGGGGGACCACCACAGCGTGAAGCGCCGGTTCGGGATCCTCAACTTCCGTCGCCATAAGGCAGCGGCACTAATTAAGCGCCCAAAAGGCACCGCCTTTTGATGCGCCGAGCCTTCTTGTTTTTCTTCTAGGGCAAAGCAGCGACCCAAAAAAAAACTGGGGATGTCAAGACCTCAATGGTCTGAAAGATCTAAACATCTGTTTTGAAGCTGAATGGCAGAAGAGTGTCTTTTGTGTGGGTGAAGACTGCTCTTACTTTTGGGCAGATTCAGAACTCAGCTTGTCAGAGTACTTGCTGGTGCTCAGCAAAAATGAGGGAATGACCCCCTATAAACCATTCCTTGTCTACTTTAGTCGGGGAACCCTCCCCAACAAAAGGGTCAAAGGGTACTACTGGGGGACCTAGTTGTGGTTTCCCCTGGGTTCATTCCCTCATTCCCGACTCAGCAGCAGCAAGACAAACACCAAACCGGCGCCAAACCAGCGCTAGGGCTCTGGTTGAGACCGCTTCGCTGGGCGTTCGTCAGCTTCTTGAAGCGCATGGACTCCTGGCTTCAGCGGGGACCGCGCGCAGTATCTCTCCCGAGATGGGCAACCATATCTGGGCTACCCTCGGATCCCCCGCTCAAAGTTTATCTTTTAGTGGGTTAAATGCAAACTGCCGCTAAACACTAAAAAGCTAAAAGGCTAAGGGGATGGCTGGGAGCCACCAAGATGGGAATACTGGGACAAACCACCTGCCACCTGGACCAAAAGTTTTCCCAGGGAGTTTGCCCGGGGAGGGCGGCGGGGGGGGGGGGGGGCAAGGGACTCATTGATGGGCCGCCGCGCGTGTTTAGCACAAACCGACCCTAACCCTAGGCCCACCTACGCTCGCAGTAAGCCTCACCTGCACACTCAAAACCCACTAAATCAATAGCTCACCTACGCTCGCAGTACGCCCCACCAAACACCTGTCCTAAGCCCTCCCGCCCACCCCAAATTGAAGTTGGGGTTGCACTCAAGTGAAGTGTTGGCGTGGGAAGCTTTAAAATGCTTTAACATAAAGGTGTTGTTTACAGCGATGAACGGCTTAGGTACCTGTTTTTCACAGTTGATCCCGGGCAAGCTGATGCTTGACTTAGGGCCACAAACCGGCAGACCTAGGGAGCAACAAACACTGAGGATCCTTCCTTGCATCACATCTCCCAGGAAACAAACACCGAGAATCCCTTCCTTGCATCACATCTCGCAGGATGTTCCTTTACATGTCCCACACCATTGCACTGGAGGGCTTCCACCCCGTTGCCTTGAAGTTCTCTTGCGTCGCACACGTTCCGTCGTAGGCACCCTTTGATGGACATCAAACATCGATGAGGATTCATGTTCAACCCCTTTTGGGGCAGGTGTTTTTTTTCATGTGCTTTATCACCTTTTGCAGGCTTGGTGGAAACGCAGCAGTTTCTTCCCAACAAGTGTCAACATGGGGCATATGGCGTCACACCAAAAACCAGCCATGGGATTTATAGGGTGCCCCAAAACGATGGAATTGTATAAAAGTGGGGCTTCCTTTGAATCTCCCATTCACAACACAACCTACCCTTACCCTCCCACACATGGACATGCACAGACCCCTGCAGAAAGACTACTTCCCTCTTGGAAAGCGGCCAGAGGTGCACTTCCACGTTTGGTGGGAGGGTAAAAAGACCAAACCAGCCGTTTGACCGTTCGATCCATGGATCCGATTCGGCTCTTGTCGGGTCCTCGAAGCCACTGGCCTTCTCCCAGAAGAGACCTCGATCAGAGACGGGTTTGGGTATGGGTCAAAATTAAACCACCTGGGGACCCCAGGTTTCAGTCCATACTTCCATTTACCAGGGTTCCATTTTGGGGGTTCCATATTTTTGACCCACAGCCATATATATATATATATGAATATTGCCAGGATTCCATTATGGGGGTTCCCTATTTTGGACCCACCTCCGTTTCAAAAAAACATAAAAACACTTGTCAGCTTCACCTTTTCGGAGAATCGGGACGGGAGTGGCCTTTTTCCTCGGTGGCTTCGCCAACTTTCGGCTTCCGTTTGGCGTCCCTCCTGGGCTGCCCTCAGATCTAACTTTTACTGGGTTAAATGGACACTTCCACTGAACACTAAAAAGCTAAAAGGCTGAGGAACCGGATGGCTGCCAGCCACAAGGAAGATGAAGCTTCCTTTCAATTCCAAAGGGGGACTCGTACTTGTGAGTCCGATTCGAACCACTTCGGGCTTCTGACCGGACAAGGTGAGCACCTCGGCAAGCCCGAGAGCAAAAAGCGGAAAAGCAGCAGGTTCTTCAAACCGGGGCCATCGAAGGGAGATCTTCAACAATCACACCCTGAATGGTAAAGGGGCGGGATGGGGCGGGTTCACCCTGAGCAATTGGCTTGAGAACCTCTCAATTCAAACACTCTTAACATGGGACCCTTTGGGTCATGCGCAAAACACTTTTTCTGTGTTTCTTTGTTTGGTTGGTAGGGATGGGCGTCAACCCCCTTGATGGGGATGATACACCCCCGCAGTTTCAAGTTTTCCGGCTTTCTCAACACGGGTCACAAGCAACCACCGGTGCAAAAAAATATATCTATAAACACCAACTCGATCCAGGGCTTCTTGCCGCACTGCTTGGGCACTGGCCAACAACATCCCACGCCAAACCGATTCTCGGCACCAGAACAGCGGATGGGACGTTCGCCCGAGCGAGCGCCGGGCCTTCCCAGGTGGGGAAGTAGGTGCCCTTGAAGAGGGTGTGCTCCAGGATGCCCTCCACGCCGCCCAGGGCCTGACCAGACGAGGCCGGTGCCTTTTTTCTTGGTTTTGTCGGTCTTTCCTTCTCTTTTTTTTTGGGGAGGAAGGGGGGGGATTATGTTTTTTGTTTTTTGGTTGGCGGGGGGGGTTGTGGATTGGGTGGTTTCTTTTGGGGGGGTGGGGGGGGGGCCGGGTCCCTGTGATTCTTTGCTGCAATTTGGGGCCACCAAAAGCCCGCCCCCAAAAGCAAAAGTCAAAAGTGGATTTTGGGCATGGGCATGGTGACCAGCAGCTTCTGGCCATGGGTCAAACTCCAAATCGTACCCCCAGTGAACATCCGATTCAATCCAAGAACGAAAATAGGCTAAAAAATGGGTGATCGGTTTTGACCCACAGCCATATTTTGACCAAGCCATAAATAAGAAATAATACATTCTATGCCAGCTAACTTAGATGAGAGCCTTCTGAGGGCTAGTGCCGGATGTTTCCCGGCACAAGGCCTGACCAAAGGGCATTGGGCCAGCAAATAGACTCGGTTCTGGAAATGCGTTTTGTGGCTGTCATCCCCACAGGCCCTTTCAGGCAACAGGTACATCGGGTGTAAATTCGGACATCCATCGAGGGCCCACTCGACGCAAAGGCCGAAAGTCGAGGCTTGCGGCCTTCAAATGGTTGGCTTCATTGTTGCTGGCTTGCTTTTCAAGCCGAAAGTTGGCCTGACCATGACACACACACACACATGCGCGCGCAGAAGCGACTAGGTCCTCCAGTAGAGAGGTTAGAATAAGGGTACCCATGGTACCCTTTCTTTTTCTGCAGTCTATTTGATTAGGGGAACTCTCCCCAAAAAAAGGGTATAAGGGCACTACTGGGGCCTAGGCGAGCTCACAAGACTTGTCACATCGAAATCAAGGTCCCCCACAGGTCTCGCAACGACCAGGGGCCCCATCGCCAGGTCATGTGCGGCCCGCCTGAATCATGTCGGTACGGTAATTGTTGAGGTTCCTTAGCCAAGTCGACTTCAAAGGTCCGCACAACATCGTCTTCGAATTAATTAAGCAAGACCACCCCACATGACTCAACTGTGGTTCCTCGTGTTTTCGGACTTTCTGCTCTGATCGCGGTTCTCGACACTTCGATTCTGGGCTCGCCAGGGAACCAGCTCCCCCCAATGGCAAGTGTCTGCGCACTCGGGTCGATCTCAACTTCGTGCCTGCCTCTTCAGCTCAACTTCCTTCCAATTGGCGGTTTGGAGCCCGGTGGTTTGGTGGTTTGGTGGCTTAGGGAGTGGTTTCCCATTTACAAGAACCAGGGTCAACCTCCAAACCACCAACCCAAACCGCCAACCTGATCAGCATTTGCCAAGGCTCACGGGAAACATCCCATCTGCAACGAAACTGGATGGCTCTTCCGCGAAGGTCGCTCACCTTTTGGAAAACGTTAGCAGAACAAGAAAAAGATCGTGTTCCAGAAGGTCTGCGGGGGGTCACACATGGTCCAAAGCCTCTCTGCGTCCACGCCACCACAACTTCCCATCGTGACGCTGGTGGGTCCACCAGAAGGGGTTGTTCCGCATGATGTTGTACCTCAGGATCCGTGGCCTCTGGCCTCCCCCGGACGATTCAACATGGAAGCTCCCAGGACCCCTTTGGAAGACTTGGTTCCATTTGAGAGCTTCCATGTCAGTCTGAGGGAGTGTATCCCACTCACAAGCAAGAGAAACGTATAAAGTCGCGTGCTGACCAGCAAGATACAAAGTGCTATGAGAGTTTCGGTTTCGCCGGGTTCGCCAAAGTGTCGTCCTCAAAATGGTGGCTTGAAGGGAGTTCCCTCACTTTCAGGGGCCCGAACGTGCGCCAGGTCCAAAACGGGCCCCTTTTGGGGGTTGAGTCGACTCAACTTCAACCCCGAAATGGAGATGATACACAACATATCTGTTTCAGCGTAACTCGAAATGGGTCATCAACACCTGGCACACACTAAAGCGGGCTACCCAACACATGTAAAGAATGCAAAGGGCTCCTTGTCGTACCAAAGTCTGGTTGGGCCTGTCCCAACCTTCACGTGCCCGGTCTTGATTCTGGCTCCACATGCAACGACCTTAACAGGGACATCTGTACTTTGCCTTTGCAAAACCGCCCAAAGGGGCATATAGTATAAGGAGCCAACCAAAACACGACACGTTATCTTAATGACGCTGACTTGTGCTCGATTGAAAGCACTCAACTTGTTAAGTTGCTATTCAATTGAATTCGTGTCCTTGCATGATTAAACGAGCTACATGAGTGAACGTCCCGTCCAACCCCATTCTACGACCCTGAACCGAGCACAGAAAAAACCGCGGACGAGGCGCTGCTTGAAGTCCTGGCGCACGCGCCAGCCCTTGTCGAAGGCCAGCGTGTGCCGGTCCTGCCGAGTCTTCCATCAGCGGGTGGCGGTTGCCGGGGTGAAAAGTGGCCACTTCCATTTGGTTTAGAATACTTTTGTTTTTTTCACCTGTTGGTTTTAAATGGAATCTATCACTACTGGAAATAGTTGCTCTTTCTTTTTTTCCCGGGACTTAAGCAAATGGAAGAGCTTCCATTTGGGCAAGGCCCCAGGAAAGAATAAGAAGAAATATGTCCAGTAGTGATGAGTTCCTTTTAAAACTGTCCAGTAGTGATGAATTCCGTTCAAGACCAACAAGGGAAAATACAAAAAATATTCTTAAGCAAATGGAGGCATGGGGTTGCCAACCCCCCAAAAAGAATAACAAAAAACCAACGGTGTTGCTATTGCGTGACATCCTTTGGAGAAATTCATGTCCACCAACCACTTGGGAGGCGACGCCCTATTGCGTATGACAACCTCCTTCCACACCTCAATGACTCGAGCCACCCGCTCGCTTGTGGGTTCAGAAGGAAACAAACTAATTTTTCGCGGAAACCCCTGAAATGGCAACAGTTTCCCTCCCTTTGGTTTCCGTGAACGAGGCACCAACCCTTCCAAGGCCAAACCTGGTCAGTTTAAGCAACATCAGCCTCAAAGCTTTGCAACAAATCTGGAGCTGTGCGTACCTCAGTTGGATTGTCTTTGTGGTTTTTACTTGGAAATGGCTTCTTGACCGTGAACAACCTGTGGAATCAGGTGGGTCTTTGACTAGTCGGTGAGGAAACTGTTTCATCCCAAAGCAATGGTGAAGCAATCGAAGGGTCTCGCCGCACCATGCAAAAGGCAGGTCAAAAAGGCTGCCTTTGGTCAGCATCTGTCAACACCCATCCACCTGACATGACATTATACCGCGAAAAAAAAGAGGAAGAAGTTGGAAGTAGCGACAAAGCCAACCACTACATAGCTCTCAGCATGTCATGACACGGTGGGAGTCAAATTTACACCTGTGTCTCAGCTTAGTCTATATCGGCGATGGGAAGTAAAACCCTACAGTTTGTAAGGATTCAGAGCCAACACAAGAGCCATTGCCCAGTGACTAAAACTGACTAAGTTTGACTGCAGGACCAAGGGCCATGGTCACTGGGTCACAAGTCAGAACCTTCCCATGGCTCTCGATCTTGAGCCAAGCATGCCCAGAAATGTTCGGCCCATGGCCACGACGCAGCCGCCGAGTCCTTCTGGAAGAGCGTATTGATGCGCGGGATGCCGCGATCCCAGGCGTCCTGGCAGAAGGGGCTCACCCCCAACAAAAAGTTGAAGGGAAGCGATCCACGTGTCTGGGCGCCCCGGACTCCGAACTCATCCTAGGGGAATGTTCCCTCCCCCCCCCTTTGACATACCCGAATGGGGACCGGGATTGGAGCTTGGTAGGGGGGATTGTTGTATGGTGAGCTTCTTTGTGGCTGCCCTTGATGCATCATCAAGGGGTCGGGACCCAATGTTTCTATGAAAACCAAGTTGGCCCCCTTTTGGGCTGAAGCTTGTTTGTTCTCGGGAAGCAAATGAGACAATCCTCTCTTCAGCCACTGTAGGCTTTAGGCTCCAGAAAATCCCCCGTTGTTCCACCAACCCACCAACCCCCGCTCCGCCCTTCCCCCCCCCCCCCCCTCGCTTTTCCACCAACTCCGCCCTCCCCCGCCCCTCTGTTTTTCCCACCAAACCCCCCCCCCCCCCCGTTTTTGCCACCAACCCCCGGATCTCCCTCCCCCCGCACCCCGCTGCTGCTTTTCCCCCCAAAACCCCCCGGATCTCGCGCTCGGAGCGGCGCTCGGATCGGCGCGCGGATCGCGGGGAGACGCCTCGAGATCCTCCAGGGTGAGGCGCCGGTTCTGGGCCGTGGCCTCCTGACGCTTCAGCGCGTACTCCGCCCAGACGCGCTGGGAGTCCACGAACTCGGCCTCCCAGGTCTGCACCTGAGAGGCGCGGAGTGGGGTGGAGATTGGGAGTGGAGTGGAGTGGGTTGGTGGGTTGGTGGGAGGGGTTGGTTGGTGGGAGGGGTGTGGGTTGGGGGGAGGGAGGGGTAGGGTTGGAAGGGGTGGGGGCAAAATGTAAGCAAACGTGGGCTTATTTTTACTGGGCTTCCTTCCGCTTGCATGACCTGCACAAACCACCAAGGGCATGCACGTATGTATATATATATATAACATCATGCGTCCATCCACTCTCAGTTGGTACTTTTGGCCAGGAAGGCGTCCAGGAAACGGAACCTCAGCCAACATTGGCCTAGAAGGTGCTTAAACCAAACAAAAAGAGGCACATTGGAGTACGTCTTTAAATCGGGGACCCCGAGCCGTGTGCTTTCCCTGGTCTTTGTTGAGAATAACCGCAAAAAGGAGAGCAACAAACGACACCCCAATATAAGGACTGAAACCCCTGAAAGAGGGAGAAAGGGTTTTCCCTCTCCCTTCAAATCAACCCCAGCAAGGGATCAAAACAACATATCGAACAGACCATATCAGGACCCCCGCCCCAAACCCCCCACAAAAAAACTAAACAAAACCAGCAACAAGGACCCCCCCCCCAACCCCACCAACCAAGCAAAACCCCCCAACCCCGCAATTTACACAACCCCCCCCCACCCAAAGCCGACGTCAACCCCCCCCAACCCCCCCCAACCCCCGCCAACCCCCCCCAACCCCCCCCCCCCTTTTTCGGGTTGGGAGTCGTCGATGTCGCGCCCAAGGGGCGTAGCGGTAGAGGTTGGGGATCAGCTGGTCCTCCTCGTGGCTCAGGCCACTGCGGTAGTGGGTGATGCCCGTCCTCGGGGTTCCCGAGATCATGAGATCAAAAAAGTGCCAAAGAAGGCACCCAAGACCCAAGGACCACAGGCGCCAGCTCTCGTCCTTTTTTGTCGAGGGGGTACCTCTTTTTGTGGAAACAAAAAGGGAAACAAAAAGGGACACCCACCAATTTCCCCCGAGAAAAACAACACACCCACTTCAAGATATGAGGAAACTGGGAAGCCCAAAAGGACACCACTTGTGGGCGGGGTCCTGGGCACACCCAAATGGGTATGTCGGTAACTAGGCGTTCGACAGGGTGGTTTTTCTGTTGGGTTTCCCAGGCCTTTGATCAGGACGAAAGGGTATCCTCGAAAAACCCACATATGGAACACCTGGGAGAACAAGGGCTTTGGCCTGGTGCACATGAAGCACGCGAAGGCTCTGGATTTTTAGAGCGGTGATTTGTCCAGAAAGCCTTTGAAAAAGAGTCACAGCGTAAGACAACATGGCCAACCTGCATCTGTTCAGCAACTCTAACATCCCCGGTTATTGGCTGGAAGGATTCTCTGGGTAGCTCGGGGGTTCACAATGCAAGAGGAACGGGATATGAATCCCAAGCTATCGCCGATATCGAGTGATTTCCAGTAGTGTACGGAGGCAGTGTACAGCACCGTGATATTGATAGCATTCAAGAGTCTCACTTGTTTTGTCAGGGATCCTTACATTATACACCTGAACATTGCCTTGTAAATGGTGGTTTAATTTTGGTGGAAAAAGCCATGTTTCAAATGGTTGCAAAGTGTATCTTTTAAGGAGCCCTGTTTGCATGTCGAGAGAATTCGTAGCTAAAGAAACCGTCGCCTTCAAGCGGAAAGTGTTGGCCTGGGACACTTGAGCCCCAACTGGCCAGCCGCGCGTCAAAAATGAAACCCGTCTTGGTGGCTCTGTGAGAGAAACAAGCGGTGCCCATGATCCTGAAAAATGAAACAAATGTCTTCTTTGTGTGTTTGTTCGTTCGTTCTTGTTTTTTTGCTTGCTAGCTTCTTTGTTTGTTTGGTGTGCTTGTTCGTTTGTTTGTTCGTTCTTGTTTGTTCGTTCTTGCTTGCTTGCTTGCTTGCTTGCTTGCTTGCTTGCTTGTTCGCTTCTTTGTTTGTTTTCGTGCGTGCGTGCGTGTGTGCGTGCATGCTTGCTTGCTTGCTGGCTCGCTTGCTTGCAGGCTTCTGTCTGTCCTTGTGTGTTTGTGTGTTTGTTTGTTTGTTTGTTTGTTTGTTTGTTTGTTTGTCTGTTAGTTTGTTTGTTTGTTTGTCTTGTTATTTTTTGTGCTTGCTTACTTGATTGTTTGCTTTCCTGCGTGCTTGCTCGCTTTCTTTGCCGGTGCGCTTTCTTGCGTGCTTGCTCGCTTGCTTGTTGACTCGCTTGCTTGCGTGCTTGCTTGCTTGCTTGTTTGTTTGGTTGCTTGTTTGTTTGTTTGTTTGCTTGCTTGTTGTGTGCTTGTGTGCTTGTTTGTTTGCTTGTTTGGTAGTAAGTGAGTAAGCGTTGTTTTGTGTTGTTGTTGTTGTTGATTGTGTGGTTTGTTGGCTTGTTTGTTTGTTTGTTTGTTTGTTTCTTTCTTTCTTTCTTTCTTTCTTTCTTTCTTTCTTTCTTTCTTTCTGCTTGTTCGTTCGTTGGTTCGTTCGCTCTATGTATGCACGTAGGTAGGTAGGTAGGTATGCATGTATGTATGTATGTTTGTTGGCTGGTTTGCTTGTACGATTGTTCGTTCGTTCACTTGTTTGTTTGTTTGTTTGTTTGCTTGCATTGTTTGTTTGTTTGCTTGTCTGATTGTTTGGTGGCTTGTGTGTTTGCTTGCTTGCTTCCTGGCTGGCTGCCTGGCTTGGTTTCTTGCTTGCTGGCTGGCTTGCTTGCTGGCTTCGGTGAGTTGGGGAGATGAGCAGCATCTCTATCACAAGAGACAAGCAACCATGCAGGAGAAACAAGCAAACATGTTAACATCAAGGCACATGGGCTGCCAATCAGTTTGCAACACGTCCCAGGCCAACCCTCAGGGATTGTTTGACAGGAGCCGATCCAACGTGGACTAGCGAGCGGAACGGCAAGCTATGCAATGATGGCACCGTCAAGGGCCAGGTGCGAGTAGCAGAGTTCTCCATTGTGGCCGCGGTTCCAACAAATTCTGACTGACATCTTTCCATATAGAGTTACCGGAATCCACCCGGGGTCCAACATTGGTCGAACGTGAGTCAGACCATCCAAGGAATCCAATTTTCTACCCTCGCGGTGTGATGTTTGATCATCATTTTGAAGGCTACGCCGTAGACAGTGGCTGCAACATTAGCTTGCCTCTTTGACAAGACTTCCAAAGGACAAGCCCCAACATCGCCTCCTAAGAGAGGAAGTCCTGAAGCTCTTTTGCAGCTGCTTGGATACGAACTTTCAGTGTGCTTCTTTCCCATCGGAAAACCTCACCCCTTCGGCCCTCGGCCCTTGCGAACCTTCAGCCCAGGGGCTCCGTCTGCTTCGAGTACCGCAGGTCAGATTGCGGGATCAGGATGTGGCCCATACTGAGCATGCCCAGCCCGCCCAGCTCCTCTCGCGTCGATGCGTCATCGGCGATGAGTCATCGGCTCATGGGTCTGTCGCAAAAAATAGGGGGGGATCGACCCCCGTTCAAACCAACCAAAAGCCCCCCCCACTCAAAAAAAAAGACGCGCCCAAGTAGCAGAGGCTTCTGCTTCCGTGCTTTTTCCTTGATCCATAACAGATCAATGGCCCAGCTAGTCCGGGTGCGCTCGAATGGCCACGCACCTTGTTCTGACCCCTGCAACTTGCAGCCGGACCTGTCGCTTCTCTCTCGGGTCGAAAGTGACATCCTCCAAATGACCCTCCATGTGATGGTGTCAAGCGGTTAAGGCTACTGCAACTCACTTCCTGAGTAGATTGGCAAAACAAAAACAAACTCGGTTTTCCCAAAAAGACCTAAAGCCCACCACCCCCCACCCCCCTGTGCCACCCACCCACCCATCGAGTGAGGATCACTTGATCCACGGATCGACTCGGATCGTCCTTGGGCGTGTAGAAGACCACCGGAGGGAAGCGCGAGGGCATCTTGGAGTTCAGACCGATCTTGATTCGCGTCTGCACCTCAAGCCATGAGTCACAAGCCTGAAATACGGGGCATCCCTATGCAAGGAAGCGTGAGGTCGATGGCCACAGAGACTTCCCCAAATCAGTCACAATCAATGCCCTTTGTCCAAAAATGGTTAACCCAGAACCATGGAAAGAACGCTCACATGAGTCATAATTAACTCCCTTTGTCCAAAAATGGTTAACCCAGAACCATTAAAAGAGAAGAAGGCGAATAGCCGCAGCTATTTATGGTTGGGAGTGTCAAGTGAGGGATCCTAAAATGGGGGGTGGTGTTTTTGGTGTCCCTTCCAACCAGCCTGCAAAGGGTGTGTAGAAATATATATATATATATATATGTCTATATCTATGTATTATTTATACATGTATTATATCAAAATGATTTGTTCCCCTTAATTGTTGCCCCTACCCAGGCAGGGGCGAGAAAAACAACCTGTGAAACCACCAAAAAGGCAAAGTATAGGGACCCCCATCAAATGTAAATGTTGGTTGCAAATCCTCGAGTGTGGTTGCCACGGTCAAACTGGACATGGTTTCCTGAATAAATATCCGTTTGGTTACCCACTTTAAGGCCTCAATCCCTGCCAAGCCCAAGGTCTTTTCACGTCGCAAACAAACGTGAGGGTTGAGGACTTGTCAAACAGGGGATCCTTGGTGGGATGGCTTTGTTACTCGAAATCACTTCCCGTTTGGCCTCAACGAAAGCCCAGAAACATCAATCCAATCCTTTCCAATCTTCAACCAGCAACTCAAGGTGATCAAATTGGTCTTTGCCGATTAAAAGTCATTCATCATCAATGTCACACCTAAGTCGAGCACAAAGCACACTCCGGTCCAAGCTGCTCAGCACCGCTCTCATTGGCACCCGAAGCAGTCAAACAACAACCACAAAGGGGTGGTTGCGTTTGCAAAAGCCGGGCCTCCAGGCCCCAAATCATATACGGCCTCGACCCGCAAATCAAGAGAACAAAAAGGGGGCCTCGACTCGCATGCGCTCAGCAATTCGGGGGCAAGGCGCCTTGTTCTCGCACTTCACCAAGAGATCCAGCAGCGCATCAGTGTGGATGACCGCCTCTCGGTAGTAGGTCATCATGCCGATGAGGTTCGTGTTCCACTTGTTCGCAATCTTGGTGAAAGTGGTCGAACCTGCCGCTGAGGGGACCCCAAATGGAAAAACTCCGGTTGATGGGGCGGTGCCCCATTTTGAGAGGGAAACCGGATCACTGGAATTGCGGGGACCACCCCCTGATCCACGAATGAATCCGGGTCGACACGAGCTTTGCTCCATCGAAGCGGCGGAGCAAAGACTGAAGCACACCTCCACGACAAAAGCCAATACTCCCGACATCAAGCACATTCCTCATGCAAAATCCTAAAGAATGAATCCAAGAGATCACTGAGTCTCTTGCCCTTCCCTTTTCTGCCCTTTTGGGGCCCTTTTCCCGTCTTCGGTTTTTGTCCCCCTTCCAAGCGGTCACTAGCCACTCACTCTCTCACTCTCTCACTCTCTCACTCTCTCACTCTCTCTCTCTCTCTCTCTCTCTTTGCGGCGCCTGAGGCCATGAGGATGGTGCGGCAGCGGTTCTCGAACTGCTTCTGCGACTCGTTGTCCACCTTCAAGAAGGCCTGCGCGGTCATCTCCTGACGGCTCGCGAGCTCGAGCTCGAGCTGAGAGCACCGGGCCCCCCAAACCCCCCCGCAAGGCCCCCCCCCAAGGCCCCCTTCCGGGCATCATGGGCCGCTTCCGCTTGGGCGCCCGCCGGGCTCACGCAAAGAGGCCGGGGGGTTCGGCGCCAAGCCTTGGCCTCCCAATGGGCACAGGTCCGACCCGAGTCTCAAGACCTCAAGCTAACGAGAATCGCTTTTGACACGTGGGACATATCCAGATCGTCCAGGGGAAACTGGGCTGCAATGGGAGCATGCACGGCGAGCAGCGTCCCAATAAATGGATTTGAGAATCTCGTTGCACAAGGAACATATCTAGATTGGAAACTGGGTTGCAATGGGAGCATGCACGGCCCACGCAAGAGCACCGCCCAATAAATACATATATTGTTTGGGATTAGGAAGTTTCAGTCCACCATATGCTCCAAGCCAAAAAGCCTTAAGATCCAGAACTGCTTCACTAGACCCTCCTTGATTTGGCCATGGGTCAAAATCCCGTACGCCCAGTGAACATCCCAATTTCCACTAAAATAGGTTCTAAAATGGGTGGTGCACCTCCCCCAACATGGTACCATTGGTTTTGACCCACAGCCATTTGGCTGCTTTCAAGCTACCCCGGCCGGAAAGCTCAGTTCTCGCACATCTCTCCTTGGTGGCGTCGTTCTGCAGCTTCCACACACCCTCCCTCTGGGTGAACTCTTCCTGGAAGGTCCGGATCTTGGGCAGAATGCGCACCTCGAAGCCGCACATGTTGAACAGGATGTTCGGGTTGTCCTGGCAAAGTCTGGATTCACTGAGGTGACATCCTCAAATTGTTCCCTCTAAACGGTAGCTCAAAAGGGGGTTGCCAACTGAGAACAGCCGCAAACATTACACGTGTATATATATATATATATATGCATATATATATATATAATTATATTACATACTATGTCTAGGTGGGTGTCCTTCTTAAGGGAAACCTCTGTTGGTTGGTTTCAGATGGAAAAACAAAACCCATTTTGGGTCGGTTCATGTTAAGACACACCCATTATATATATATATATGGCTGTGGGTCAAAACCCTGTACCCCTGGTGAACATCAAAATAGGTGGCAAATGGATGGTCATCCACCCCAAAATGGAAACCATAGGTTCTGCCCCATGGCCATATACATATATATATATATATGGGTGTGGGTCAATATTAAACCACCAGGGGACCGCAGATTTTAGTCCATGTTTCCATTTACCAGGGTTCCATTTTGAGGTTACCCTATTTTTGACCCACAGCGATATATATATATATATTACCAGGGTTCCATTTTGGGGTTACCCTATTTTTGACCGACGTCCATATATATATATATATATGTACATACGTGCTAAGGTCGTGGGCGGTTCAGTTTTTCTCCTTGGAGTACACCGAGGCGAAGGAGTTGTCCCAGACCAGCGTGGTGACGCTGCGGGGCAGGCGGTTCTGCATCTCCCAGAAGACCGCCCGGCCCAAATTCACATCCTGGGTGTGGGTCAAAAATAGTGACCCAAAATGGAACCCTGGCAAGTGACAAAAACCTGCTGTCCCCTGATGGTTACATTTTGACCCATAAGTCCCAATGCTAGGACCTTAGACTGTCAGAGGCCCTCCCAAAGAGAAGGGAGGACCCCCCCAAGGCACCTGGTCTGGGATTCACAAATCCCCTATTGGGTCCTTGACAACCATTGTAACCATGCGACGCGACGGGTTAGAGAATTCCGCTTGCAATCTGACTCTGAATCTATAAGTTCTCCCCGTTGATTCGGGTTCTGCTGGAGGCATTCGGAGGATTGGCAAAGCACACCTCACCAGCCTGAAATACGGGGCATCCCTATGCAAGGAAGCGGAGTTCTGAGGTCCATGGCCACGGAGACTTCCCATGAGTCACTTGCTCAAAACCGATCGGTATGAAAATGGTCGTAATCCCATTTTACCATGGAAGGAGTGTATCGAAGGCGGACATATCCGCGGCGATCTATAGTTGGGATTGGCCCTTACTAACCGGATCATCTACCCGAATCGGTTTTGATTTTGGCTCAAATGAAATAAAAAGCGCGATCCCAAATCGGGTTGGCGGTTGGCAGCCCAAGTCGTGAAGTTCCGATTGATTGCCCAAAGCGGTGGGAGGCTCCGTCTGTTTTCGGTCGGCTCTTGATGAGAGAGCCTCTTCTGCTCTGAAGAACCCAAAAAGCACCGGCGGAGAGAAATCTGAATGTGAGAACTTTAGTTCAGAAAGGGCACCGCCAAAGTCGGGTTACCCAAAACGCCAAGCCTAAGCCTTTTAAGTGGATCAATCTGGCTTGTGAAGAGTTTGGGCTGTGAGGTCTGTCGTTCCTCCATTGTCCATTGGGCGGTTCAAGATGCAAGGTTGGACAAGTCTTATCCTTCACCCCTACGCAGAAGCTTCAAAGGGGCTCCTGACGTAACTGAGGCAAGGATGAAGGAGTGCGTTTGAACAGCGCAGCTTTCGCGGCGCTTGCACATCACTTCTACGAAATTGTGAAAATCAGAGCCCCCCCCCGGCTTGGCTGAAGTTTTCAAATGTTTCCTGCAGCAGCAAAGGCTGGCCCCCAATTGGTTGGGGCTGTCTTTGGCTGGATCTTCTCATCTGGTTTCCAGTGCAATGGGGCTGAAGCCTGTAGACCAGTCAAAACAACAAGCTAGTGACCATGTGCTCAAAGGCCATGCCTGAAGCAAGCAAGTTGGGCATTCAAAAAGGGGACCAAGATGCAAAATGGCTGTGGGTCAAAACCAATGGGAACATTTTGGGGGTTTTCGGTGCCCCACCCATTTAGTCTGTTTTCGTGGTTGGATTGAGTCGGATGTTCACTGGGGGTACGATTTGGCTTTTTGGCTTTTGACCCACGGCCAAATGGCCTTCTGTGTTTCTTCTGGTGTCGCTTGAAAACCAAGTTCCAGCTCCAACCTTCAGCGACTAAGGGCGCCACATGCTTCATGCGCCGCATGCGGCAATCTCGGGGCCAGCACATCTTGTTGGTATAGCCCACGACCTACAGCTCCACGCGAACTCATGTCCCTGGATTCATAAGCCCGTTGACCAATATACGAGCGTGTCTTTTTTAGAGGACCCCCAAAACATGGTGGTTTTCCTTTTGGCTTCCGTTTAAAAGGTACCCACAAAAAACACTCACAAGAGGGGTCCCCATGAGGAAATCCTTCTGATGCGACCCAAGGGTCTGGCTCGCAGGGACCGAGACAAAAGAGAAAAAGCGACAAAGGAACCACAACCGACCAAACAAACTAAAAAAGGAAGGAAGGAAGGAAGGAAGGAAGGAAGGAAGGAAGGAAGGAAGGAAGGAAGGAAGGAAGGAAGGAAGGAAGGAAGGAAGGAAGGAAGGAAGGAAGGAAGGAAGGAAGGAAGGAAGATAAGGAAAATAAGGAAAGAAAGAAAAGAAAGAAAAGAAAGAATGAAAGCAAGAAAGAAAAGAAAGAAAAGAAAGAAAAGAACAAAAAAACATGACATACAAATAGAAGCAAGCAACAAGCAAGCAAGCAAGCAAGCAAGCAAGCAAGCCAGCCAGCCAGCCAGCCAGCCAGCCAGCCAGCCAGCAAGCAGTCAAGCAGGCAGGCAGGCAGGCAAGCAAAAAGCAAGCAAAAATAGAAAGAGAGAGAGAGAGGAACAACATAATAGAAAGGGAAGAGACAAAGAGAGAAATAAGAGAGAAAGAGAGAAGCAGAGAGGGAAAGAGGGAGACAAAGGAAAACAGAGCGAGAGAGAGAGAGAGATTGAGTGTGCGGTCCACAAGTCTTGCAAAGCAAGGAGTCCTTGTTGCAAAACAAGTGGGACTCTTCAAGGTTTCGCTTTCTTGTTGGGGGTAGGGGTCCACAGCTTTTCTGTGAACAGGCCCACATCGTCGGCATCGACTGGCACCATACCTTGGAATGCCACTGGCAATGAGTCAATCGATGGGGCCGCTGCAAGAAGGGAACTCTACCGACAAAGAGGCAGGCACTTAGGCCTTTGGACAAGCATCGAAATACAAAAACATGGCGCAGAATCTCCCTGAAAAGGGCGAATGGGAGGATGAGCACCATTTCTCAACAATATGGTAATAGGGTAACCTCAAAATGGGTCCCAGGTAAATGGAACTAAGGGCTAAAATTCGCAGTTTTTCTGGTGTAATTTTGACCCATACCCATATGTCCCTCAATCTTTACGTTCTCTTTGCTGGTACCCCCACCCCCACCCCCACCCCCCACCCCCCACAGCTCCTTCGGTTCATCCGGGGGCCAAGGGGCATTCTCGTTGTTGGGGTCCGGGTTCTCGGTGAGGAAGCGCTGGATCAGATCCTTGGAGTCCTCCTTGCTGAACCGGAAGACCATGATGAACCGGTCCAGGTATCCTTGCGGCAAACCCCAAAACGGTCCAGGTATCTTTGCAGGTGGAAAGAACCAACTTACCAGTGCCCATGTCCCTTATATAACTTGGTTGACGTTGGGTTTGGGGAGCAAAAAAATGAGAAAATTTAGCAGTTCAGTGGATTTGGATTTCAAACAACAACCATGCTTACGGCGGCTGGGCAAACATCCCAAAACGGTCCAGGTATCCTTACGGACGCTGGAAACCCCTTCAGAGGTCCAGGTATGGCTGGGCAAACCCCAAAAAGGTCAAGGAAAAAGGGTTGCTAAGGCCGGAAAGAAAGAGGTGACCTACAGGCCCCAAAACAAGGTGGCCCCCAAAAGAGGTGTCCAACCCCGAACCTATGTCACCGTTTGGTTTTGTTTAAACCCGACAGAGCAGGTGCGGGGGTTCAACAGAAACAGCCCACCCAGCCCTCCCCCCCCTCCCCAGGCCCATAGACCCCATCGAACTCTGAAGTCAATCTATGCGCGTCTTATCAGAGCCAATGCCCCGACCCAATGCCCAGAAGAAGGTGAAGCCACCAGCGATGCGCGGGACGCGAAAGGCCAAGCGGCCAAACAGATGATGCAGGACATGGTTGCATGGGGGAACATGCGGGGGAAGGTCCAAATCCAGGTTCGGGGCAGGCAGACTGATTTCGGGCTTGCTCTCTGGGATTGTTCTTCATATGATTGAGAGGTTTGGGGGATATCAAGCGGGCCCTGGAATCCGAGTCTGCCTTACCAGCAGTTCAGTGCACCAAAACCATCAGACTCGCGCATTGGGAACCAGTCTGCCAGAAGATAAACTCAACTTCAAGGGTGTCCGGAAATGGCCGTGTCACAGAACTTCAGACCCTTTTGCTGCCAAGAGAACCGAAGTCTTTGATGAGGCTACGGGTCCCTTTTTTGTTGCTTCCTTTCTTCGCACATGCGCCGCGTGTCTTCCACGTCGACTTCCCATGGATTCCGGGGCTGGAGATCAACTCGCTTGATATAGCTTGGGGGCCCTCCTTTACCCAAAAACGGTCGTTGGATCCGCCAAGGCTCTGCAGTAGAGGCGGATGGGGTGCCGCAACTCTGTGTCCACATCCTGGTAGGTCAGGAACCTGAGAGGCCGGACTTCTACGAGAGGTCCTCCAGTAGAGAGGTTCGAATCAGGGCACCCACTTTTTCAGGACGGTCGATTTTTTAGTTCTGGAACCCTCCCAACCAAAAAAAAGGTGAGAAAGGGCACCTAGCTGGGGGACCTAGTCTAAGTTGCCACCGGCGGCCACCAGTCGACTCGACCGCGGCGGAAGAAGAAGCGAGAGAGGCGGTCGCCCTAGGGAACCCAAACCGAAAATGGAGCCCCGTGCAACTCCCCCAATTCCTGTGGCCTTCCCTTTCAAAACCCCAAATAGAGTACACTCGGTGAGTGAGTGAAGAGTGGAGAGTGGGCAGTGGAGAGTGGACAGTGGAGAGTGGACTGGAGAGTGGAGTGGAGGCGGAGGTGGAGGTGGAGTGCAGTGGAGTAAGTGAGTGAGTGCGTGCGTGCGTGAGCGAGCGAGCGAGCGAACGAAGGCTGCGCTAGGTGGGAAGCGCAAAGCCACTGCCTAAGGTGCCATTCCTCCCGGCTTCTCAGGAGTACCCTCAAAAACGACACCCATGATCATGAGATGAGGAACCCTCTGCTTCCGAATCTCCTCCTGATCCAAAAAAAGATCTCTGCAAGCCGAAGATCTTGAACCCAAGGGCTCTGGGCCGCCAAATACGGACGCCCATCTTTAGAAGGTCGATGGCTTTCATGAAACCCGACCGCTCCGAAAACGACATGGCGGGTCTCTCTCTGTCAAAAAGCAGGGGGGAGCCAACAAAAAAGCTGTGGTTGTACTTGGCCATGGGCTTTTCAAAAGCCAAATCGCACCCCCAGTGAACATCCGATTCAATCCCCGCCTTACCCCTTAAAACTCCCTGCGCCCTGGGGAAGTTCACCTACAGACATATAGCCCATGTTACCCCCAAAAAGTTGAAAAGTTGTGTTTTTAAGAGGTACGCCACTAAAATGGGTTCTAAAAAAAAATGGGTGGTGAATTCACCGCAAGCCCACCAAAATGGGACCAAAAACCAAAATGGTTTTGACCACAGCCACTGGAGAAACCAAGCTTGCCCTCCATTTGCTGAAGTCCCCTGGAAAAATATATATTTAAAAACAAAAATAAAATAAAATAAAATAACATAAAAGTCCAGTAGTGATAGATTCCCTTTATATTCAAAGCAACAGGTTGGAAAATGGACAGCATATTCTTAACCACGTGGAAGTTGCGGTGTTCATCGCTTTGCCTCAAACCGCGGAAACTGCGCCCGGGGTCCAAGCGCACAAACTCGCGCGAGCGCGCGCGCGTCCAAAGGCGTCGCTCCCAAGGGGCTCGTTGGGCAGCTGCGGAGGCCCTGCGATCTCCGAGGCCCGCGTGAGGCCCAGCATCAGCAAATCCAGGACCATGCCTCAAGTTGATCCTACCACGTGTATATATATATATATAATATATATATATATCAAATACGTATATATGTGTACATGCATATATGTCTATATAGAGTTATATTATATACTATGTCTAGGTGGGTGTCCTTCTTAAGGGAGACCTCTGTTGCTTGGTTTCAGAAGGAAAACAACAATCCATTTTGGGTGGCTCCATGTTAAGACACCCATTAAATATATACATATGTATATATATATATATACTCGGTTGCGTTCTGCTCCCCCGCGAAAAGTTTAACTTTTAGTGGTTTGATGGCTAAAAGTTTTCAACTCTTGGTGGTTTAATGGCTAAGAGTTGTCAACTTTTGGTATTTTAATTCGGACAACCCATGAGTTGGCAAAAAACAACAGGGTTTAAAAGTCCTAACATCCAAGCAAAATGCAGCTTATATATGTGTTTCATAATCAGACACTGGAGATGGGCTCCTAGTCCGCTAAAAGGTGAACAACCACCAATGCCCTATAAAAAGCTCAAAAGCAAGCCACCAATGATGAGAGCGTCCCAGTTGCTCAGTTTATCGGGGGTGGTGGATTGGTGACGTGACCTGGGGTTGCACGAGATTTGGCGGTTGTCTTGGCAAGAAACGCTCAATTTCGCCGGGGCCATGGCGCAATGGTAGCGTGCCTCCGAGGACTCTTGGGGGAGGTTGCAGCTGGCTCTTCTCAGATCGGACATATATCGGCCAAAAGCGTGGAAGAACTTGTATTTCCTGCTTTCATCGCTAAACGGTGTTATGATGTTTATTCTTTCTTTTGTGATGATTGCAGAACTTGGTCGGCTCAAGCCAGGGCAAAGCTCTCAACCGCCCACGCGAGTCAAACCGCGGTGGATACCTTCCGCCACGGTGCAGTAGTACTGGAACACGAAGGATCCAAACTGCAAGCCCTTGATGAGGCCATACGAGTTGGTGTGGTTCATGTCCTCAAAACATGCACACCACTCAAAGGCATCTTCCCGCACATCAATGCCTGCCTTCAACAACGCCGACTTGCGTGTTTTCACCCGGGCCAGGTCCTTGTAATTGATCACAATGTTGTTCTTTGCGGTCATGTAGTCCGCAATGTTGTGATCCACAATGAGCCGCAAGAGACGGTTCAGCAGCGTGAGGTCCACTTTCTGCGAGACGTTCCTCGCTTGGTTCCATCTCACCATTGGACCCATGGGCCACTCGCAAAAATTGAGGAGCTCGTTGATTGGGTTCCAGCTTGATATGGTTTCCCGTCGAATCAGCAAGCGACAAATCGAGGGAGCAAAGAGCGGAGTCAAGATTGGGAGCTACGAGGGGGCACTTGGCCCCTTTTGTTGGAAGCTTAAGCCACTTCATGGAAGGAAGGGAAACCGTGATCGCCTTTGAGTCGGAGTTCGACAAACCAACTGGCAACCCTGATAAATCAACCGTGCCCCTATGAAATCGGCGGCGCGCTGTTCCACAGCCTACCAAGACGCGAGTCGGCGGCCTTCGAAAATGATGCAAGCCCCAATACTTTGGGAGAGGATGGGGTTGCTGAACCGGAAGAGTTCAATATCCAAAATCCAAGGGCCATCCCCCTAAAGGTTCACCAGAACTCAGGAGAAACGAATGGGCAACAAAAAACGGGCAAACGATATATATATATATATATATCACCAGCCCAGCATCTCGAACTTGCTCTCTAGAACCACCACGCACTGGCCGTCAGATGTGTCCCACACCTCGGAAACACGAGCGCTGGCGCGCAAGCCGCAAGTCCCTCCGATCAGTTTTTCCAAGCCCGGAGGATCTGGCAAAAACTTCACAGCTACCCCTGGTTGACGTTGGAAGGGGAGCAAAAAATCAAATTTTAGCAGTTAAGTGGTTGGATTTCAACCACTAAACCACAATAAGCAAAAATGTAAAATGTTTCCCAACGACAACCATGTACCAGTTTCGAAGCCCTTGACATCTTGCCTCACCGAGCTCGGCTTCAATTACCCCGGTGTCTCTAGCTTGCAAAGCCCGGAAAGACACCCAGAAATCATAGCACACAAGCTTGAATTGCAAAGGCCGGAGAGCATGAACCACATCCAGAACTCATAGCAGACCATTTTGCTCATTGCCCCGGAGCACATTCGCCCCCCCGCGCCATTTTTTTTTAAATGGATGCTGCTTCGCCCAGGCGCATCTGTCAAGTTGTTGACGCCCTGGCACCACTTGTAGACCAGCAAAGGCGCCGGCTCCGTATCCGCAGGTTTCACCCAGTTCGGGAAGAGGTGCCGGTGGTCGCCCTCGTACCTCAGGGTACGAGCGTCCGAGCGTTTAAGCGTTTGCCATGACATTTTCCTTGGCTACCTAGGTCCTCCAGTAGATGGGAAAGAATAAGGGCCTACCCTTTGTTCTGTAGTCTATTTTGGTAAAGGAACCCTCCCCCAAAAAGAGAAGGTAGAAGGGCACGATCCTGGGGGACCTAGCTGGCTGGAATCCAGGGACCGGCCTTTCTGACCCAAGAGGGGAGGTTTCCAAACCTCCGCCGCGCTGCCTCTGGACCCAGAAGACCTACGCTGTGGTTGGCTCCTGAGCCTTGACGGTTTTAAGGAAAACACCTGCAAGATCTAGACTCTAGACAAGTCTTTGTGTCTCTGAAACCTAGGTGCCATGGGAATGGGGCGCTTTCCTGGTCTCATTTTGAACATCCCAGCTTTTAAACCATCCCCTTATCTTGCTGACGACCCGATGATGCGGTGGATGACCCCAAGTATTGCAACCCACCACACCCAACCACACCATGGTAAACTATGGCAAATTCGGGGGGTTCTATGATTTCTTTGTTCCCTGATTTGCAATATGGCAGAAACATTCACCGTGCCAAATGATTTCCGGATACCTTCCAAGGTCCTCCCTAAGTGGTAGACGAACGGGAAATGAACCCAGTCTCTGACTTGACTTTCATAACGTGTTTGTTGGCCAGTGATACCCCAGATACGTGTTTTTTGGTGTAAAACCCCCAAAAAAAAACATGACCCCGGTGATATCAACCATTTGCTTCGCCAAGACACCAGAGGTACTGGTCCAGGTATGCATCCGTGATCTTCTCCAGCGGCTCAATCTCATAGCAGGGCACCAGGTGCGAGTACATGTCCTGCGATGCGAAGAAGGAAACAAAACGATAGTGTCACTAGTCCCCCCGTGCCTAGGGCACTATTTTGACTGTCATAAGACCAAAGGTCACTGGTCCCCCCGCGCCTTTCTCGTTTTTCCGCACTTCTGCCTTTTGCCTTTTGGGGCTCATCACCTGTGGGGGCTGAGGGCAAGGGCAGCTCCCATTCAACGCGGGAATCACCCGGCACAAGCCGAAAGAGCCGGTTGAACATGGTCCAATATGGTCCAAAGGTGGACGGTTCGATCGGAACGGACCCTTTTTTTTCAACAGCGTCCTGCGAAAGTTCGAGCTTTTGGTGGGTTCAATGGAAACCCCACTAAACCCGCCAGACCTACAAACTGAAGGAACCGGACTGCTGGGAACCAGAGGCTTACGTGACGTTCAGAGACCGAGCTCGTGCAATAAATGCGTCCGCAACGCATAGACATGGCGCCAAGATTGCACCCTGCGGGTTCTAGTATGTCTCAAACAACCAAGTGTGTTTTTTCATACAAAGCTGGGCATTTGGCGAGTAAGGTCTTTCAGCGGCAATCTGGTACATCACCTGTGCTTTCTTGAGGACCCTGTTCATCTTGGTTTCAATCGACACCAAAAGGAACACCAAATCTTTTTGTGGGATTTTCCTATTTTTGTTGACACATACCCTAGATATTGTCCATTCGCCATATCTGCAGTTGGTTGGTCTCTGGGTTGGGAATCGCTTCGCCCAAACCGGACCAATCAAGCCGAATGCCTGGGCGCAGGGCCTGGATCATCAAACCACACACAAAAAAAAACACGCACACACACACACAAACCTCACACCCGCCAAACAAACGCGTGAGGTGGACGGTCACCTGCCAAGACCCGGGTGAGAAACGATGTGGGGGAAAAAAGGAAAGGAAAAACAAGAAAAGAACAACACATACCGTCACATACCCTAGATATTGTCCATTAGCCATTAGCCCGGGTGAGAAGCGCTAACCCCCCCCCCCACCCCCAAAAAAAAAGAAAAACGCATACCGTCACATACCGCTCCCCTTCCGAGAAACAACAGGGAGTTGGACGGTCACTTGCCAAGACCCGCTGAGAAGCGGTGAAAAAAAAAGCAATTCCAAAGATCCGTGCCCCGTCCGCTCCACATAGATATTGTCCATTGGCTTGGGTGAGAAGCGCTCAAAAAACCAGAAAAAACACAAACACGAGAAAATCGGCCATGAAAAACCAAAAAAAAACAAAAAAAAAAAACAAAAAAACGAGAAACTCAAAATCCCTTCTTCCAGGCCGGATTTTCCGGGCCGGATATTCTTCGGCGGGATTTTCTCCGTCGGCTCCGTCCTGGAACTCGATGGTGACCTCCTTGAAGGCGCGCTGGGTCAGCAGGTGCCGCTTGATGCGGCTCAGCGCCTCGTGGGGGTTGTCGTAGGCCTGCTCCACCAGGCCCAGCTCCTGGCGAAAAATCGAGAGATCGACCTCCGAATCGACCTCCGGCCGGGGCGGCCTTTTGGCGGGCGGGATCGCAGGCGGCTTCGGACGGCTCGCTGCTTCTTTTTGGGTGGCGGTGTGTTCTTCTGTTTCGGGCCCTTCGGGTTTTGGTGGTTTTCTTTTCTGTTTTTCTGTTTGTTTGTTTTTTGCGGAGAAAAACGGGGGTGTCGTCATAGTTTGCTTTGTTTTGTTTGGTTCTTCTTCTTCTTTTTTTTTGGGGGGGGGGCGGGGGTGGGGTTCCTTTGCTTGGCAGGTTTAGGGGGTCATCATAGTTTTTGTTGGGGGGTTCAACATGAGCGTCTGAGATCCAAATGCGAGATCTCAGATTCGTTTGTTTGTGGGTACCGCAGAGAGCGTTGCTCAGCTGAGCTGTTTTATATGGAAAAACCGAGATCTGACGCCTCGCCATTTTTGGGGGGCATCTTTTCTGGGGGTGCAACATGAGGGCTCGATGTTCGGGTACAGCGGCCTTGGTTGCCCTCCACAAATGGTAGCCTCAGGAAAGCCTCACAGCCCCAGCTGGGCAGCTCCAAGGGGCCAAACATTGTGGAACATGAGCTCCCTTCTATGATGCCAATCTGGGTCATTCCATATGACTATGTCACTTTGAAAGGGAACAGTGGCCATTAAAAACCGTCATGTTTTTTCAAACAAAAAAAACTATATACATTTATAACTATGGGCTTAATGTTGACCCCGGATTCATTAACCCCCTCGTCAACCAGGTAGCCAAGAATTGGTTTCATGGATAAAACCCAGGGGGGCGATTCCTGTGCTTTCCGAGTCGTATCCAGCATGGGTGAATTGCTATGCACGTATATGATATGGATCCTTGGTTGACGTTGGAAGGGGAGCAAACATTTAAATTTTAGCAGTTAAGTGAGGAATCCCCACAAAACCACAATAAGCAAAAATGTACAATGTTTTCCAACAAACCATGGATCAACCAAAGGAAGCCGAAAAGACTATGTTGGTCGACCCGCAAAATCTGAGGTCGCTATGCCCGAAGCAACATGGTACAAGTAGACCCCCCCATTTCCCTCTTGGCAAGGGCCGAGGCCCAGTCAAGGACCCCAAGAATGATTGTTCGAAAGGATCCTGGCGTCGCCTGGCAAAGCAGCCAGCATCCACTCTCAAAATCACCAAGTTGCATAAGAGCTGCTTGTTGAGACATGTGACCATGTTGATATGACTTCCATGCCCATTGCAGCTGGGCAGGGATTCTTGTTGGTGAAATGTAAGGGCTCCCCATGTTGATATCCCCTAATGCCATGAATTTGGTTGAGCATACGCGCTCATGCCCGGTCTCGCCCAGTTCAGACATCAACAGCTCCCGTTGAAGGGCCTAGACCTGCGTGGAAGGCAAATTGGTTCCATCAGGGAAGTTTGGCGCTAGTCCCGACGTGTGACTCCTGGGATAGACAAGTTGTCCGGCAAAAAATGTCAAATCATCAGAAGTCAGAATCATCATACATGACAAAGCTTCCCTGACGCTACAGGACTAAACTAAACCCACTGCCACCAACTAAACTGAGCTACAGGGCGGGTGTGTCTTTTCTGAAGTTGCCCCCCCCCCCCCCCAACTCCCATTCGGCTTTCCTTTTTGGTCTTAAAACCCGACCCAAAAGCTAATAAGCTTGGTGCCCCAAAAAACCTCGACCCCCCCATTGGTCAGCGTAGGGACTCCTATGCGCCTCTTGCGCTTTTTGGTCGGCTCCTCTCGCTGCTGCTGGTTCAGCCGGGTCTGCACGGTGTACTGCTCCTTGAGCCGCTCTAGGGCCAAGATCAGCAGCTTGGTGTCGTGCTTGTAATTCAGCGGCGGGAAGGGGATGGGCGTGAACTTCCTGGCGTGCGGTTGCGGTTGCGGTTACGATTGCAGTTGCACCCCCTGACCTGTTGGTCTCTTGGGTGTGTGCGTGTGTATGTGTGTATGTGTGTATGTCTCTCTCTCTCTCTCTCTCACGCTCTCTCTCCCCCTCTCTCTCTTCCTCTTTCTCTCTCTCTCTCTCACGCTCTCTCTCCCCCTCTCTCTCTTCCTCCTTCTCTCTCACGCTCTCTCTCTCACGCTCTCTCTCTCTCTCTCTCTCTCTCTCCCTCTCTGTCTCCCTGGTTACTTGCGTTCTTATGTTCAGCGTCTTGATTGCTTGTTTGTCTTCTTGCCTGTCCGTCCGTCTCGTCTGAGTTTGGTGTGTCGCTTCGTGGCCTGTTTGTGTCTTCCGGACCTAAGGCAAGCAAACCCAGAGAAAGGGCACCCTGCTTCAACGGAGCCCAACAAAAAGTTCGTTCGGACGAACGAGGGGTCCAGGTGTTTTTGGGGTTTGGTTCCCAGGTTTTCAAGGGAACCCAGCAGGAAAGCCCGTTTTCGTGCCCGCCCCCGCCCGCTTTTTTTAAACTCACAGCCACACGCCCCCTTCTCCCATGGCGCTCTCCTGCTCTCGAGCCAGTGCACCGTGGTGGTGTAAATCGCCACGGCCTCCTCGCCGCTGACGTAGGGCCCGTCCTTCAGGTAGTTGTGCTGCCGCTCCTGCGAACTCTCCAGGTGACCCAAAACATCCCCTCGGACGCGTCCCATGCGCCGCCAAGCGGTGAGTCAGCGTCGGTTTGGAGGGAGTGGTTTCCCATGTGCCCTCTACAAAAAGCCCGGGGGTCAAATTCCCAAACCACCCAATCCAAACCACCTATTGAAAAGAAGCCGGCGATATCTTTTGGCCTTCCAGACTACGTTCCTATCTCGCTCTGCGGCCTCTACCCAATCCACCGGACCATTTCTACCAATTGGTCGAAGTTCATGCCCCATCTTGCACGGGAACCCAGAAGAACGCTAGCAGTTTCGGCCGAGAATCTGTGAAAGGAAACCCCAAAGAAATCAAACCACGGCTTTGCCGGGCTCGCCTTGTTGGTTGATCCACGGAAAGAACTCCTGCTTGGAGATATGCAGTATACAGAAAATCCCAGGAGTTTATTCAACTGTCATGTAACGAGAAAGCTGCCCTTTCCTGTCTTTGGTGGCAGTTGTCACTTGGTTCGAACTCGTGGCAGCCTTCCAGACGGGAAAGCTTAGGAAAAGCGCTACCTTCCGACCTCTGGAATCCCCAGTCACATATCTTGCAACCCTCGAATGGTTGAAGGAAAAAGGGCCAGACTTAGACCCCTAAACAAAAAATAGCTTCTTGCTGTTTGGATCGAAAGGAAATGAAGACAAAAGAAGCAATAACAAAAAATCCCGACAACAAATCAAATGCTTCGAAATTGAAGCTCATGGACTCATCCTTTTCATGCCCTGCTGTCACACACACCAAGAACATCCACCGTATTCTTACCACATGTCCAGGCTTCAGCTGCGACAAAAAACCCGGAGGAACCATCCGGGTAAACCCAACTTAGGACAGAGGTCGCTGCATTTCCCCAAAACAGTAGTTGATCAATGTACCTGGTGGTTTCCAACAAGCAACTGCCACGTTTGGAGGTTCCCTTTTTGTTGGGAAATGGCTCGGAAACCCAAGATGGAATCCTGATTGCCCTCTTTCTTCGGTCATTGGCAAATCTCAGCCCCCAGCAATGGATTCGACTCGACCCGAATCGTGTTGATTCTCCTGCTCGGCCTTCAGCCAGAGACGCGTCAGCCGACCCAGGTTCCTTGCACAGAAATCCCCCGGGGGTGAGTGGATCTCCCCTTCAAAGGTTGCTATTTGACTGTTGATTTCCATTGTTGGGCCTTCACTGAAGAAGAAACCTGCCGACTAAAAGTTGGGAGTTGGCCGCAACTTGACACTGACGGACCACCATCCTCCGAAAATCCACCTTGGCTCATAAATCCCAGGCTCACTCAATTCCACCGCTTTGGTACACATGGCTTGCAAATGAAGCGGGAACCATGCTGAAACCAGTGGGACAGCTACCCGGCGGAAGACTACAATATCCTCTTCCAGAGGCTCTTCCACTTCCGTGAGTTGTTGGCAACGGTGTGCTCACCAAGAAAGGGCCGCCCAAAACGTCACGCCCAGCCCGAGGTCCGGGGAAGCACCAAAACAGACCATCGCCGGCATCGGCGATTTGGAGCGTTCCGGGGTGACCACTGGGCAACCGCTGTAAGGGGGCTCAAACCAAAGAGATCCAAGCCTGACCAACGCGTGTTGGTCAATGTTCCCAGACGGTGTTTCTCTAAAAAAATGAACATCCACGACTTCTTTGGCTTGGTATTCAAACGGAATACCAAAAGGAAACCCACCAGTTTAGGGAACCTCTATTTAGGTTTGTCTGAAAGTTGAGAAAATGCGTGGTTTTCCTTTGGTTCCCCTTTAACACCAGCTACAAGGAGACCCTCTAAAAAAAGACTCTCCTACTTTGAGCAACACCTGGGTAGGGTATGTGTCAAAATAGGGGTACACCCAAAAGATGGTCGGTGTCCTTTTGGTTTCTCTTTACACCAAGGTAAAAAGGGTACTCTCAAAGTACACACACACAGAGGGTTCTACTTTTTGACTATCCCAAGGTAGACTTAAACCCAGGGGTTTTGATTTTAGGAACATCAACCACCCCTGGGTTTAACTCTTTTTGGGGGTCGTCAAAAGGTAGAACCTGCACACACAAAAAGCACACAAAAACTGGGCTGCTCTCAGATCCCCTGCTAAAGTTTATTTTTTAGTGGGTCAAATGGAAACCCGATTAAACACTAAAAGTCTAAAAAGCTAAGCAGCCGGATGGCTGGGAGCCACCTAGAAAATTCACACACACACACACACACACTCGCGCGCGCACGCCATTCTGAAAAGCACTGCTTTCCGAGGCTCTTCTTGCAGGTGGTCTTGTCCACCGTGGCGCCTCGCCGGATTCGCTCGCGGTTGTAGTAGGTGGCATTCGTCCACCAGTCCGCCTGAAAGACAAGGCGGACGGCTGGGCTGGGGGGGTTGAGGGTGGTTTAGGTTGGGGGGTGGGTTGGGTTGGGGGGGTGGGTTGGGTTGGGGAGGGGGGGGGTTGGGGGGTGGGTGAGTTGGGGGGGGTGGTTTGGGTTTGGGTGGGTGGGTTGGGTGTTCAATGGCTACGAAATGTAATGGTGTTACCACCTTCCGGGATGTCTGGTGGACTCCCCACGAGAATGATGCCCACCAGAGGGTCCCCATATAGAACTTCTTCCCAAAATGGGAAGTGGTTCCTTGTTCCCTTCCCACCCACCAGCAACTTATCCCCTTTTGGCCCCAGTCACCAGGCTGAGAACAAGTGTCCGCCACGTGTTTTGATGTGTTTTCCTGGCTGTTCATGTTGAGGAGAAACCAATGTTGAAACCAACTGACAGGAAACAAGGATACGATGGCCTTCGCAAGTCATTGTCCTTGTGTGATGCAAGCTGATTCCATCTTCAACCTTGGGAACCGCTTCATTAAAGTTTGCCAAGCATTTGGACATGTACGTTCCAATCTAAAAGGGGATGCAAGTGACCAATACCCTAAGAAATCACTTCCCCACTACAAACTACGAGTGGGACTAGCCCTGACAGTTCCAGCTCATCCCAAGTGGCCACTGTCAAACGCTGTTCCTTGCATGTTGGGCACCAAAAAACATGCACCAAAAACATGCAGGTTGCACTGTGGGCTTCGAAAACCTCTGCGACTGATTTTGTGCAAACCCAGCATCCCGAACCAACGCTAAGAAATCCGTGCTCCTTCCTGACTCACTCATTACGCAAATATTCTCATTGTCCATGACTAGACCATGACTAGACCAAGGAAGCCTTGAGGGAAACCAACCCATTTTGATGGGAAACCCCCCGATCTTGAGACCTCATGGTGTGCCAGAGGCAGCCTTCCCCGATCTTGAAGGCCGGGCCTTGGACTTCACGTAGCGCAAGATCATGTTCTCGATGGGCGCGGGCAGGCCCGGCACCTTCGCGCCACTTCCCCAAGGAGGTGGGAGGTTCGCTGGGCGGGCTCTTTTCAGGTGGGCCTTCAAATTGCCATGAAGCAGTTCGTTGACAGTCACTCACAATGAGTTATTCACGTAGCGTTGGGTGGTCTATGCGAATGATCCTTCCGCAGGTTCACCTTTGTGGGTCAAACATTAACCCCAAAATGGGTTGCCCTGGCCAATGGGGTAACCAGGACAAAAGATCTGGGATCCCATGGTGGTGCAATTTTGACCCGTACCCATTGTTTACTGTCATTCCACGTCCCAAGTGGGCGATTGGCAATTTGGGGCCGGTTTTTTGTGGTCATGTTGGATCTGCCTTTTCAGAACTTGTGTCCCGTGTCCTACGCTTAAACTCACAATTGACTAGACTACCAGGAACCTTCAGTTGCTCTAAGTGGCCCAAAGGGCACATGTACTTGCTTTGCCATGATCGGCACTACCAACTCCAGCTTTCAGGATAATTATCCGTTGCGACGATCTCTCACCTGCTCGCAATCAGTTCTCAAACATGATTCCTCACAACACCCAGAAATTCTGGATACCCCCATACTCATGGGCCCTTTACCCGGTGAGCCCTGCCCGGTGATAGATATATATATATATATCTTTAGACCACCCCCCCCCAACCCCCCCACCCCCACCGCCGCCCTGCCCTGCCCTCCCGCATCCGCCGAGCCGACCCGTCGACCCCCCGAAGGGCCTTCCAGGGGATGTTGGCCTTCCAGCAGCGCCAGGCCTCCGAGAGGTGCTGCAAAATCGTCCGCGCCTTGTTCGCACGCACGCCTGCGGGCGGCATCGGCTCGGATCTCGAGGGCGGACTCGAAGCCGGACTCGGAGCGGTGGATGGATGGATCCCGCGGCGCGGAGAGAAAGAGAACGGAAGGGTGGGGTGAAGAACACAAGCGGCTTCTGACGGGGAGGTGGAAAGGGAGGGAAGGGTGAAAGGTGTGGTTGCTGTTGTTGTCCGGGCGCCAAGGTAAAAAATGTCCTGGCGTCCAGTTGAAGCTGCAACCAAACGTCCCAAGTCACATTAAGCCGTCTGCATTCCTCCTTAAAGGGGTGTCCTCCTCTCATCAATGGGTTCGGCGAGCAGTCGTGTTCATTCTTCACACATGTCCAGCCGTGCCAGACCCTTGGTCTTGCGGCTCAACGGGAATCGAGCTGCAAGTCTTGCCCGTGATTTTCGCTTATGATGGAAGTAAATTTGGAATACGAGTGACCGTCACTCGAGAAAATGACAAAAGGGATCGTCTCAAAATTTCACACCCCCAACTTGGGTGCTTGTCTTCATGTTTCTCTTAGAACCCAGCCCAAAATGGTACCTTTAAAAGAAGCACAACCAAAAACTCCCACCAAGGTTGCAACTGGGGTACCCGGGGTTGGTTCCCTCAGCACATGCTGATGGCTACAGCTTACCAAGTGAGACCTTGGGAAACTGACTCAAAAAAAAACAAAACGGCGGCCGGCCTTCCGGCATCATGTCGATGATGTCGTGCATCACCGCGGCGCGCAGCTCCAGATCGAAGTGGCTCTCCACACGCTGCTTGGTGATGGTCTTGGCCACCCCCTGCGGTCGACGGTCGATGCCGCAGCAACGTAGCAAGCTGAAAACGGTGGCCACCCGGCAGGAGGAGCAAAAGGCTCAACCACAGCTGTGTTGTTGAAAACCACCCTGGGGCCACCTGCACTCCTGAAAAACCACTTCTTTGAAGTGCTGGTGTCAGGCTAAACCAAAGCACCTGGTTGTTGAAGTGGTGGTGTCAAGAGTGATCACTGTGGAGAGTCAAACTTGGCAACAAGCAACGAAGCGGAGCCTTCATTTCGGCGCGCCAGTCTTGGCAACTTGATGAAACCAACAAATGTCCGCCCACGTCACGCCAAAGGTGAGCTCCCGACTAGAAAATGGACTGAAGAATCTTGGGGGCAGGCATCCACAAGGAAGAAAGGCAAGAACATGTCAAATGCGGCCGATGGCGCATCTGAAGCCCGGAAATATGTCCCTCTTAAAAGCCGCCAAATATCGATGCACAATCCCCCGATGCACAATCCCCCCGGCCCGCGCCTTGCTCACTCGGCCCTCGAACTGTCGCGCCAGCCTGACAACAACGGGTAACAATTAAAAAATAGACCACAATAAATAGATCGACCTCAAAGGACACCTGTGGGTCAAATGAGCTCAAGCCATCGCCTAACTGCCAAAAGCACGGACACCGTTGATGCAAAGAGGTATACAATGACACGAACTACTTGGAGGACTTTGAACTTGACACCAACATGACACCAAGCGACCATGTCGAGTATTTTGACACATGCCCACTTCATATTGTGTGAGCGTCACGGCGAATGTGATCCATGATTACTTGCTCCCCGACACTTGACGGCACTTGCAAAATCAGTGCCTCGCGAAGAGCATCTTCCAAACAACGGGATTAGTCTGCATAGCTAAACATGAAAGCAGAACGGTTCAACATGAACTAGATGACCGCGACGCGAATGCAACAAACGTTGTGAGACCTTGACTTTCAAAGCACCCCCCAAAGGGAAAAAAAATCGGAGAAACGGTGCTTGAGCTCCGTTTCTCCCCGCCGAAACCCATCATTTTCTTGACCCCCGCACTATTGTTTTGACCCCCCCTTCCCTTTTCTTGACCCCCCTTCCTTTTTTTTACCCTTCCCTTCCCTGCTTTTTTCGAGAAACCGAGCGCTTCTTGCCCCGTTTCTAGGTCCTCCAGTAGAGAGGTTAGAATAAGGGTACCCTTGTTCTGTAGTCTATTTTAGTAGTGAAACCCTCCCAACCAAAAAAAGGTAGGGCACTACTGAAAAATCTAGCTGTCCCGAGCGGCAGGTTGCCCAGCCAGCGCTCCAGCAGCGGCACCACGCCCCGCAGGAAGAAGAGCCAGACCCGCCAGCCCGGCGCCCAGAAGCCGCAGCCCGGGCCCTTGCCCACCGGGCCCGTGTTGAAGCGGTAGTAGATCAGGTGCTTCCTCGAGCCAAACCAAAACCAGAGACAGCATGGTCCAGGGCACTGCAAGGCATGTTCATAAATCTGGGTATCTGGCATAGGTGTCCTTTTGGAAAAGATAGATGAGTTCCCCTGGTAAATGGAATGAAACCCATCTAAACCAGTGCCTTCTATGTTTAACCTCACTCACCTAAAAAGGACACCTATGTTCCTCGAGCAAACAAACCAAAAACGAGAGAAAACATAGAAAGCACAAGTAACAACCACACACGCGCGAAACAATCATAAAGCATTCGTAAAACGTACAGACAGGCAAACAGTAGAATTACCAAAAAAAACAATGCACTTAGTGGGGGTGTCCCTAAATGTTACACTTTCGTTGGATAATGGCATGCTTCCTTCGAACCTCCACCAATTTCCTTCGAAGCCCCTTCGATCACAAACATACTGTGGATGGACGAAAACCATTTCGCACCACCTCAGAAACCCTGGAATGATTCGATTCCCCTGTAAATAGCAACAAGCAATGGCTTCAACCATGGTTTCAAAGTGGTGCGAATTGGATTTCGTCCATCCACAGTATTCTACCAGAGCCTGTCCCCCTTGGGAGCTTGAGGCCCGGATACCAACTGGTTTTGCTGCAGACGATCACCACCCAATCCCTCCGACTCTTTGGACCAACGAACACTCGGTGGCGAACTCTGCGAAGCCCTGCTAAAAGTGACTAACTTTCAGTGGTTTAATGCGGAAAACCCTTTCATTCGTTGGCAACAATTGTTAAAGTCCTAACAGCCCTTGGCAAAATGCACCAAAGAACACATGTACTGAGGGAACAACCGCTGGTGGATTGACATGACCTCTTGGCATGATATGTCACATCGATTCCTGCACGCTGACCTCCCCTCCCAACCCCCTCCGACCGATCATGCTGGCCTTGACTAGCAAAGTAGGTTGATGCAGCAAGAATGTTCCTTGAGCAGAGCACAATCGTAGGCTTCCCTCCACAAAAACGATTCACGGACCTCTGGTGCCGTCTTCTGGCACCAAAAGCCCAGGACTGGTACCGTCTGGCAAATTGTGCGATGAAGCCTCTGTTTGCAGATCCCGAAAACTGATTTGGAGACCAGCGCAAGTCCCCCCTGATTAACCACTACCGAGCTGATTCTGGCCAGGTGGCAAGTCCTTGCACATGCGCACCTGGCGAGTGAACGGCGCAGGGCACATGGCCAAAGAATGCGCCATGTGAGGAATTTCATACTACTGCGAAGGTTGATACTGCCAAAAGCATGGGTCCTTGAACGGACCCAAGGACAAAGAGGCGAAGCTTCTGGCGCGGTTTACAGCGAGTCTTTGCGGTGATGCCTCCCTATGGTTCAGGGTCTTGCGGGGGGATGCCCTGAACATGGGCCCCAACAGTTGAACCCTAGCCGCTATCACCCTATGGGGGCCCCTGACAGGGTCTGCGTGAATGTGTAAAACTTAGACGTCCAGCCAGAGACCAAGTTGCTGAGCCTTGTCTGGGCAAACCCTTCGTAAGCACGTGGTTCGTTACTCTTTTCGTCTGCACGGAACTGCACGAAGCATCCGTCTCAGTCTCTAGGTCCAACAAATGACAGTTGGGTGCTTCTCAAAACTCGGGGACCCTTCCAAATGGCAGTGGCTCAAAATTAAAGAGCTAGGGTTACGCAGGTTTTGGTCCATTTTTCCACTTACCAGGGTTCCATTTTGGTACCGGTTTTTTGAGCCATACCCAAATAGTTGTCTTCCTTTTGGTTTCTCTTTCAACGCTATGCAAAACGGACATTGAGACAGACCCATGGATTCCAAACGCGTTTGGTGAGCAACCCGACGACTCACAAACTGCTACCTGGAGCAAGCGTTCCTGGACGTGTGAGCCCTCTTGAAGTCTTGACACCAAAGTGGTTGATTCTCCTGAGTTTGCCACTCAGCGGGTTTGCAACATGGCTCACAGAAAGTGGCTCACCAAGTCGATTTCCCAGCTTGCTGCTTTGCCCAGAGAACAGAGAGGACCGGCCGCATGCGGCTGACACGTTTTGCCGCAACAGCACCAGAGTTCGAGATCCGCTGTCCCAAAAGGTAGTTCCCCGATTTAAGACACGGGCACCCGTATGCGTTGCCAAATAGAACATGACCAACAAGACCGAGCATTGTTCAAAATCACCCTGTCATGCCAAAGTGTTTCAAGGACGTGATCACTTGAAAGGGGATTCCCTTCTTCATGGCTATAACACACGGAACCGGAACCAATCCCACTAACCCCCGGTTTGCCAAGATCAGCGCCTGCCGCATGAGCCGGTACTTGTAGCGGTACATGCCTGTCAGCTGCCCCACCTGTCGCAAAGCACAAGGAAGGTCGGTGGTTTGGAGTGGTGGAGATGGGGGGGGCGTCCCCCAGTTACCCTTCAATAACTCGGTTGCTTTCCGCTCCCCTGCTATGGTTTAATGGAAAACCCATTAGTTGGCAGAAAGTTAAAGTCCTAACAGCCCTTGGCGAAATGCACCAAAGATACGGACAAGTGGTTCAAATCCCCAAACCACCACTCTGCTCCACCAATGCAGGAGTACCTGATTGGCTCCTTAGTCTATGGAAACAAACCAAAGGCTCCTCCGAACGCCTCTTGGAAGCGGTAAGGGGCTTTTTTTTTCTGAAAGGAGTATGTTTGTTGTATGTTTTATATTTACACCTGGTTGTAAAGGAATTTGTTTTCACTACTGGCCATATGTTTTCATTTTTTCTGGGGACTTCAGCAAATGGAGGTAAAGGGGCCAAAGAATCATGGTCATACTCTCTCCAATCATGAGTCATGAGGTGATCCCATTCCAATTCTTTAGTACTATAAGTGTTCTTGGGTTAGCTTGCTTAGAAACAGATAGGTTCCACTGGTTTGAATTGGTTTCATGCCCATTTACCAGTGGAACCCATCTAGTATTCCAAAAGGACTGTTTCATGCGACAACTCCATGCAAGTGCTCCTACTATTTCGGCTCTCAGCATGCGTCCTAGAACCTCTTCTAACCCATTTTGCCATGGTTCAAAACCAATGGTACCATTTTGGGATAGGTGCACCACCCATTTTAGAACCTATTTTAGTGGGGATTGGGATCTTCACTGGGGGTACGATTTGGGTTGTGACCCATGGCCATTTCGCCGGGTGAGCTGCTTCTTTCGCCGCTTCTCTCAGACTCTCGCAGCCAGGGTGCGTGGGCGAAGATATACTGCAGGCCGTCCGCCAGTTGGAAGGCGTCCACGTTGCCCAGGCGGAACTGCACGTGGGAGTCCACCACCAGCTTGGTCAAGCGCATGATCTCCCGGCACAGGTGGAAGGCGTTGCCGAAGCGCGACTTCTTCCGCTCCTGCCGTTGAAACGAAACGCGGCTCCTAGCGAAACAAGTGTCTATCGAAACGTGGCACAAGTGGCGGTGCTTTTCCAACGACATGGTACCATGGCACCACAAGGCAAATGGAAGCAAAGACCAAAAACCCCGGCGGTTGGCGGCCCGTTTGCTCTTTAAGCTTGAGCTCCTAACCGCCAAACCAACTTGGGTTTGCCTTGTGACATGAACCGCCTCACCTTGAAAAGGGAAGTTCTACGGTACCCGGGGCAAGGGCGGGGGCTGCCTATTTGTCCCACAAACAGTGGGGCTCACTGGTTCCCCAAACAGGTTGATCAATTTACGGGTGGCCATGGAGGCTCCAAAAAGGGAATGGAGCTAAAACCCTGAAAGGAAGCGGAAAAGCACAGAAAGCGGGCAACATGGGGGAGGGGCAACACCAGGCTAGAGGCTCCAAGCGGCAAGCCCAAGAGATATGAAAAACGAAAGCAACAGCAACCAGCGAGGGCAAGGTGGCAAGAGCAGACCAGAAGCCGCAGGCGACAACGGCGAGCCGATGTTGTGGGACTTTGGTGAGCATTGACTGCAGTAGCTGCGATTCGGTGACGACAAATGATGGTGAATATTGACGCCTCAATCACACTTGGCGTAAAGGCACTTCTAAGACGGGTGAATTGCTAAATCTAGGGATGTACTGTGAAAATAAACGAATATTGGTCAGTCTCTGGAAGTGAACTACTAAATGTTACGCAAGAAATCGTGCTTCCTTAATGCCTGCAGTGAACATGAACTGTGAAGCCAGCACGTGGCACGTCGTTCTGGTCGCTTCCAAGAGAGGGAGCCAACTGTGTTGAAGAGCTGGGGAATGGCTTCAAAGGGCATGAGTTTTAAATTGCGGACCCTTTGGACGTCAGAATCCGGTGGGCATTTATGTCCACCGACCACCCCAGGGGGTTTTGCTTGTAAGGCGAACCTTCGCTTTCCGAGGTGCTTGGTCTGAGGACACTGGGATGGTGCTGCTGTGGATGTGCGAAATCCATTTCGCACGACCGAACAAACCCTGGAATGAGGCGATTCCCCTGTAAATACCAACACACGCTGGCTTCAACCATGGTTTCAAAGTGGCGATTTCTGGATTTCGTCCATCCACTGGGGTGTGACCCAAAGTTTGGGAGAAAGTGGAGCCCCCCCGTTTGTAGTCCCCTGGTTTTGGGATCCCAAAAGGTGCTATGTGTGACAGAAAGTGCCGCGTTTCCTGGGCTTCAATCAGAAGCTCCGGCGAGTTTTTTTTACTGCGCGCTCCTTGGTGGTCAGCGTCTTCACGGGCTTCAGGTTGAAGTTGTAGTCAAGGTGCAAGAAGTTCAAGTTCTTTCCTCAGCTCCCACGGTTTTCGGGCTGTCCAAGAGTCAAAAGGAGACCTAACAAATCAACTTGAATTGCATTTTTCGGGGTGTCCAAGAGTCAAAAGCACACCTAAAGCATGCAACTGGAATGTCGGCACCGATTTGAATGGTTGGAGGTGTCCCAACCTCATCCACCCAGGTGGTAAATACTTGGCCAAAGGATTGAACTGAGACCCAAAGTTCCTTGGCGAAACCCAACGCCGGATCGTTTGCCAGCTGCTTTTGTTCACTTGATTCATCAAACTTGGTATTCAAACTGCCAAAGCCGTGCAAAGAATTAAAAGGTCGGCACGTACCTATGGCTGGGAATATCCCAATCACCTTCACTTCCCCGGTTTTTATCGTGACCCGCTTGGAGGTTTGGACATTGGACAGCGCTCGTTCACGCCATTCTGCCGGGCCACGAAAATCATTGCCCGGCGATGTTCAAACAAGGAGCAGTCTAGATAGATGCCTACAATGGGCCTGGTGACTGTACAAAATCCCCCACCAATCAAAGTGACCTTTATGCCACATCGGACTGACAAACCGTAAGGTGTTGGCCATCCCCATTGACTCCAAGAAGGGTGTCAAGCGACCCTGTGGCAACATCAAGTGTCCATGTCCCCAAGGGCGCACGCAGCAACGCTGCTTTGGTTGTTCATCATTAAACACTTTTGGCCCACGATTCCTCCACCCGGCAGAAGAGGAAAACTAGGCCACAAAAAGGGAATCAGTATTCTTCGATTCCCCACGCCATCACGCTCGGTTTTTTCTCTCTTCGGGGCCGGCGGGCGGGCGATGAGGAGATTCAGCATGTTGTAGCCCTGGCGGCACACCTGCAAGCCGATCTCCACCCAGTCCAGCTCTGTGCGCTGGAAGAACCTCCAACGCTTGAAGGAGCGTAGGTTCGTGTGGGGTGGATTTTCCCTTTCCATTCCTTTCCCGGCCCGCGGTTTCCCAGGAAACAACCCAACAAATCTAGGGCTTGATGGGCTTTTGAAACAACCCATTCTTTTCAGCCATCCTTCTTTTCAACAACCAGATCCATTTCCCTAGGGTTTTTGGTGGCTTTCTAGAAATAAGGATCCCGGGAAAGAATGGGGAAGTTACCCCTAGAGTGGTGCGTTGGTGTGGAGTTGGAAAAACACACACACACACAAAAAGTGAGAAGCTTGCTGGCTCGAGAAATGCAGGGGATAAGAATTGAATAAACAACCAAAAAAAACAATCCATCCGAGTTGGCTTTTGTTTGATGGGAATACCAACACCCGGTTCATTCCCAACACCCGGAACCGTCACTCCCTGCCTATCGCACCAGCAAATAAGCCAAAGGAGTGAATGGGCAAAAGAGATATGGGTGTGGATCTTTGTGGACCCGAAATGGTTGGCATCATTAGTTGGGGAGAGACATGTCCACCAACCATTTTTTGAGGTGATGTCCGATCAAAGTTCCTAGCCGTATGATGATCCGCCATTGGTGCCCTTTCTGAAAACCAAAGTACAATGGGGCTGCAGTACCATTGAAGAAGGCGCATCAAATTATAAATTGAAGATCAAGATGCTGCGCGTCTGAAAATGGAAAGGGCCCGCGTTTGAGCCGGTGATGGGGCCTCTAAAGGACCCACCTGACAGGACCCCAAAAGCCCCCCTTTTGCTTTCGCCCGGGCTTGGCGCGTACGCGCTTTCGGGTCCACCTAACGCTTCTGGTCTCTTGCATCAAGGGGCTTGGTGGTCGCGAAGATGTTCATGAGGTTCCGCTTGTTCAGGGTCTTGGGCGGGCGGTGGTGCAGCTGATTCAGCACCCAGACCTTCAGAAGCTTCTGGTAGCTCACCCGGACCTTCACCGGGTAGTTGGACGGGCAGTGCTCCTGCCACAGTTCGAGAAGCTTGGTTGCTGTAACGAGCCCCCTGCAAAAAGTGAATCACATTTTGGGGGGTTAGTGGAAAACCCCTTGATTTCCCAAAGAGTTAAAGTCTAAAGATCCAACCCAATAGCCGTCAAGGAAAAGACAACTTGGGAAAGCCTCTAAATACGGGCACCCCAAAGAGCGGGTCAAGAGTTCGTACAAGTGTCCCTGACCTGCAACCTTGGAAGGAACAAAAGAAATCAAGCCACACCTTGGGAAAGAGAAATCTCTGCCCATCTCGGCCCTGGAAATCATAACAAGGTGATCGATCACCTTTTGTGGCCATGGCTAAAACTGGTTGAACCCAAGATGTTTTTAACCTTTCGGGTCCAAAGGTCGGCAAAGCCGGCCTCGGATCTTTTTTTGCCTATTTAAAGGTCCGCCAGATTTGAGAGGTTAGAATAAGGGTACCAACTTTTTTTGTGGACGTCTATCAAAAGTAGGGAAGGTCCTCCAGTAGAGAGGGTAGAATAAGTTGGTACCAACTGTTTTCTGGACGTTTTTTTCCTTTTTTTTTCTGGACGTCTATTTTAGTAGGGGAGCCCTCCCAACCAAAAAAGAAACGGTGAAAGGGACCTAGTTTATGCATTGGGATGCCCATGTCCAAACCTCGGCAACCTCTCTGTGTTCTCCACGTTTTACGTAAAATGGATTTCGGGCCCGGCCAATAATAGGTGCACTTCGCACACATGAGACTTCCACCCAATGGATGAGCTACAATTGGGCTTCCATGTGCTATCTGATGCTACTCACAGTTGAAACCCAGCGCCGAATCGCGATCTGTTGGGTCAAACTGACCCGAAGCCAAGATCAATCAACCTGATACCTTGTCTGGAGGCTCGAAGCATTGTCCAAGGGAGCCAAGCCGCCAACCTTTGGTCTGATTATTCTTTCGAAAAATAAATAAATGAATAAATAAATAAATATCAGAATGCATGATGATTTCGTCTGAGGTTCGGTTTTCAATCAAGCATGAACGGGCACCTGCTGACTTCAGATTAATCTGGAAACCCGTACTACTATCTACTCAGGGCAAGTTCCCCTGTTGCAAGGAAATCATCCTTTTCTTTTTGTTGGCTCTGACGAGTCTTTCGGGCTAATTCGGCGACAAGCACCTATCCAAGAAAAACCAGCTGAGCAAGCTTGCAGCGAACAGCTGCAAGCATATGTTGTGAACATATACTTGCACACCGCAGGTACGGCAAGCAGTGCTTGCCATCCATAAGCATGCACAAATAAATGTTGCCAGGCAAAATGCCAACCACGCCGTTGCCAACTTTTTCGATCAAAGGCTCCTTATACCACTGGCCAACCAGAGGCACATCCTGGGCCCGGCGCATGTAGCCACTGCGGAGGTTGAAGGGCCTGGACGCGAGTAGCTCTTGAGGCCATCCCTGGCCATAGCTATTTGGGGTCAAAAATAGGGTACTCCCAAGACACACACCCCGCGGCGCCTTTCCTTCTTGCCTTTCAAACCAACCCAAAATGGGCAAAAACACACACACACACACACACACAAAAGAAAGAAAGAAACACAACCCAGTTGGGGGGGAAGTTTGCTGTTGGGTGTTTGAAGGTCGCACAACGCCCTCCCCATGTTGAAACCCTTTCCGATTCCAGAAGACACTCATTTAGGAACTTCTTTAGGGGGGTACACATGGATCCTGTCATCTAATTTTGGCTGCTCACATGGATGTGTCTTGAAATAGGGGACCCGCAATAGCTGGTGTCCATTTGGTTCCCTTAAAGCACCAACTTTGAGACACCACCATACTCGCATGGAGAAGTTGTGAGACATGAGTCAATTAGTGGGCACCAGAAACCCCTGGCAAACAGCACAAGAATCAAGAGACCATAGACCTTCCGATGGTTGGCCACCGGGAGGGATCTGTTCCAAGGCCATGGTCTGGTAGTCTTCTGGCGCCATGTGGGGATACTTTTTGTGTATGCCCGGACGGAAAACCTGAAACACATCACATTGATAGCACAGGGCCGAGAGAAAAAGCGGTGGAGTCGATCGCCGAGAGCCCGGAAGAACATGAAATTCTCAGATGCCCAGTGGATTTTTTGGTTGGTTGGGTTTGAAGGGGAACCCTTCCCAGAAAAAGGGGGGAAAAAAGGGGCGGAATCCACTGGGCAACTGGTGACGCATGGAACGCGCTTTCTAACCCGCAGAGAGAAAACAGCGCCTTTGGCTAGCATGGTCTTTGGACCAAATGGTTTCAACCTGGACATGAGCTAGGTCTATTTTAGTAGTGGAACCCTCCCCAAAACAAGAAATGGTAAAAGGGCGCTGCTGGGGGACCTAGTGAGAATCCCATGAGCAGCATTTGGTCCACCCCACGCACGCCTCGGCGCCCAGTAGAGCGTAATGCCGTTCGCAGTGCTGTCCGTGAAGAGGGGCGTGTCTTCCAGGAGCGGAGCGCCTGGAAAAGAAAAAAGCAGCGAGCTTGACTGAAGAGTCCTATATGGATGTGGCTCAAAAAACCGATACCAAAATGGAACCCTGGTAAGTGGAAACAAGAATCAAAACCAATGGTGATTTGGGTTGTTATATGGCCATGGTTCAAAACTAATGGGATCCTGTTTTGGGGTTTTCGGTGCACCACCCATTTTAGAACCTATTTTAGTGGGGATTGAATCGGATGCTCACTGGGGGTACGATTTGGGTTTTGACCCATGGCCATATGGTTCTGCTGGAAGCCTATTGTAGGGACTCTCAGCCAAAGTCAGGGCTCCATCCACAGCACTTTACTTCACAACAACTATCATGCTGGGACGGAACATTGGGTTAACACGTTTTTTGATGGGCTCAAGCAGTTCGCACTAACGACATTCCCCCACATCTGAAAACCCACTTCTCACTCGGAGGTTATGTATGGACCGAACCTAAGTGCTGCCATTTTCTCGTCGGGAAACCCTTCGGCTGGCCAACGAGGAGCCACCCATTTAAGGAAACACGGGTGTTGCGTGGCACTGAGCGCGTCCGAAGTTAAAATTCTGAATCAGAGGTCCAGAAGAAGCATCCGAAAATCATCTGATTCAGAAGGCAGTCCTCGCATGCCGCTGGAAACTGTGATTGAAATCATGGTCAAAATGTGTACTTTAGCAACCCTGTGAATGGTTTGCGGCTTGGTTGCACTCTTCAGGGAGCGTGAAGTTCTCGATGTCTTCATCATCATCTGCATTCTGATCCTCTCACGGACGCATTTCAGCGCAAGCATTTCCGGCTACGCTTGAAGGCGGTGTTTCCGAGCTGGTGACCTTGGGGGGAAGTGGGGGGGTGAGCCTCATAAGACCATGGCGATTTACCCCGAATCACATGTAACCATCTGCGGGAAGCTGGATCTGAGCAAATCCCCGGACCCGGACCAGTGCTCAAAGCGTCAAGTTTGAGGTGTCGCGGAACCCTGGAGATGGGAACTGCTCCTGCTCCACACGTATGAAGAGAGAAGGAGCTTCAAAGTTCATAGGGGTTGATTCCCCATGGTTCTTTTCAAAGCTGGTTTGTCAGGGGCTTTGGGTGGCTTTTTTTGGAAAGATTCGGATGCCTGGATTCAGAATGGACATGGAAGCAACCCTTAGAAAAAGGTGAAATGTGGACTTTCAGAGTGTCACGTTTGTGGCATTGAAAGAAACACATGGCTACGATCAGAATGTTTAAAGGCGTCCAGTCGTACGAATGCTTGTGCTCAATCAATCCGTGGAGAATGGCTACCCGTTGGTAAATACCTGTTGACTCTTGTTCGGGTCCCGAAGTATCCACCGACACCCCAAAATGAAAGAAAACCAAAGAGGACTTGAAGCCTGCTGATTCCCTTCGGGTAGGTTCTCCGGTCAAGCCACAAAGCCTCTTCCATTTGCAGGTGGAAAGAACCAACTTACCAGTGCCCATGTCCCATTTAAGACCGACCAGGCAAACCGAAACCTATCGAAAGAATCGAAAACTCTCGGTCTGGCGCCCGCCCCGCCGCCCCGCTCCTGCGATCGATGGGACACTGCGCGGTACCTTGGCACGGCGAGTGATGGACTTGGCCGAAATCCATTGCATTCCATGTGACATCTCGGCAAAACAACACCTATCAGCGGAGTCTTTCTTTTTTACGCCCGGAGCCGCCTAAGCCGCGTAAGCCAGAATAGTGCGCCTGCGCAGTCCGCGCAGGCTGCGTAGGCTTTTTGCGTAGGAGCTGCCTCCGCGTAGGCTGAAACCCTGTAAAGTGAGCTGGCTCGCGTAGGCTCGCGTAGGTTCCGCGGAGTTCCCCTTATGTACCCAAGAGAAAGTCTGCCCATATGGCTGTGGCTCAAAAAACCGGTACCAAAATCAAACCCTGGTAAGTGGAAACATGGACCAAAACCTGCGGTTTGCCCCTCCTGTTTAATTTTGAGCCACACCCATATGTCGCCCGATCACACGCAAAGTCTGCTGCCACGCTCGTGGTCCCATCCTACCAGCAGAAATTGTTCAGCGAACACACCTGAAGAGAGATACGTTCTCCATGACGCCACAATGACGGGCTCCAAAGCGGGTCTTCCTGTTCGATTGATGAGTCTTCTGATACAGTTGTCGTATTTCCAACAAAGCTGCAGACACTAATGCCCTCCACGCCCAGTCTAAGGGTGGACCATAAATAGCCGCAGTCTGAAAACAGGCGGGACAACAAGTTGGATGTTGAAACCAGGCTGTGGCTCAAAAAACCGGTACCAAAATGAATCCCTGGTAAGTGGAAACATGGACCAAAACCTGCGGTTTGCCCCTCCGATCGTTTAATTTTGAGCCACACCCACCAGTGGTTTCAAAATGCGTTTCGACATCGGTCCGGCCGAAGGACCCGAGAAATCGCCAAGGCGCGCAGGCAGAGGATTGATGATAGGATCGTAGTAGAAGGCCTCGGCTCTGCGAGCTATATCTCGCTTCACTTCTTTTTCTACCATGATCAAAGCTACCCCCGGAGTGGGTTGAAGGGAAACAACCGATTCCATTTCCTGACTTTGATAACCCCAGAAACAAAGTAATGACCCCAGTATATAGGTGGCTCTGAATTTCAAATTACTTGGAACTCATTTAGCTGGGGATGTCCGTCCTGGGCTTCCCCTGTGAAATTCACGGACCATGGCTCCCATGCTGACAAGCAATTCCAGGTCGCTTTGCTGACAGCTCTGTAGGTGAGATGTGTTTTACTCCCAGCTCCCAGCGACTCACGACATGACCGTTTAGAGTCTACAGCTCAGTTAGGCGTGGTGGATACGGCCGGCTGAGAAGCCGCTTCAGAACAAGGCCGCGTATCGAATCCGCTTCAGCCCCCCCCAAAAAAGCATGCAGAATGGGCCGGGATCGGGCCTACCGAACCAGGGATCTGGAGATAAGCTCAACCAATGCTAGGCGAACATCACCACGGACACAACGCATCGACGTCGAATTCGTATGTCTCTGGAACCAGATCTGCATCCACCGCTTTGTGTGGGCTTGAAAGATCGTAATAGCGGCTGTCATTCACAGAGTTGTTTGATAGACTCATCCCCAAACTGAAACAAGCACCATTCTCACCACCCGTGGATCAAAAGCGGGGGGACAACACCCCAAGTTCATCTGGAGGGGTTCATCTGGAGCGTAGAACCTCCCCAACTTTGTGACTCTAAGAAAGGAGAACACATCAATTGCAGATTTGAAGAACAAATATGTATACAAAAACGCAGCACAAGAGAGAGCAAAAGCGGCAAACAAAGGAAGAAAAAGAGAGCCAGCACGATGGCAGGGAACACGAATGCCAGGCAGCTGAGAAAGTGTGCTGTTGACCTGTCTCATCCTTCGATTTGCAACTCAACCCCATTTGTCATACGGTTGGGAACAAAGAACGGGCGCATCTCCATGGAACTTGCAATGGATTTGTCACCTGGTGTCACCTTCAAGGGGACCACGTGGGGCCCCCAATTTGCCCCCAAACGCCGACGCAAGGCGTGCCCAAATCCCCGTACGGCCAGGTAACACGGGCATCTGTTGGTTGTCTTTTAAACAGAACCCCTCTCCTCCCAAAAAGAGACAAAACGGGCGTTAAGCCACATGGCAGGCCGCGATGTTCTCCTACAAAACCATGAACTGAAGGGAAAAGAACTGATTGAGTAATGAGTTCCGAGTTTCGACTCAGAAGCATACGCAGGATCAAGAAACAAACAAAAACAAACTATAGAGGAGCAAAAAGCGCAGATCCTGATTCATGTGTTTGCAATACTTCGAATTCTCACCCACGGCGACCAGCAACACAACACAGCGCAAAAAACCCAACCATTGCCCAGGGGCCGGCAGATCCGGATCATCGGCTTTGATGTAGCAGACGGACTGCGCGCAGCGCGCTAGGGCGATTGGTTTTCTGATTGTGCTTTGTGAGGGGTCTGGTATCGCTACACTATCAACTGTGGCTAAACCAAAGGCCGCATGCCAGTACACCAACGTCTCCTACTTCCATCAGCAAGCTTTAGCAAGAAAATACCATTCTCTACTCAAGTGGGGCACCAAAGCCCGCTTGGCGGAAGCGATTCGCGCGGCAACTCCTGGCCCCTTCGGCTTGAAGAAGGCTTCCCAAAAGCAAAGCTCGGACTCTGAAGCCCTGAGCCAAAAAGAATCAGATCTTTCGTTGTCACTCTCTGCAGAGAAAAAGCCGGAGAATAGCGGCGTTCATCGTGGGCATTTGAAGTAGACCAGAACTAGAACCAAAAACGTCAACACGTCGATTTGCGTTGGATTGAGATCATGTTGAGGCCCTGCAAGCACCGAGATGTGGGTGTCCTTTTGAAGAAAGCCTGTCTGGGGTTGGTTTAAATGGAACCCAAACGGGATGTCAAAATAACCGGGCCCCCTAACATAGGCGGGCTCCTTTGATTTCTTTTCAAAACATCATCCAACGAAAGGAGTCCAAGAAAAATGATACAGAGACATTTTGTGGCCTTCCCATTTTGGGACCAACCGCACCAAAAAAGTGTCCAGCGGACCTGGTGGTGGTACGGGGCCATGGTCACCCGCCGCGGGCGGGAGTTGTAGAGGAAGGGGAAAGCGATGCCTCCAAGCGAAGGACTTTGTGTTTCTTGAGGGTACCCCCCTCTTGGTGGGTGTCTTTTCTTGAGGCTACCCTTTTTGGGGTTGGTTTAAAGGGGAAACCCCCACAACATGGGGGTCCCTAAAAAAATATATAAATGGTTGGCTTTACGTGGAAACCCCAAGGCAAAAAACGAAAGCCATAATGGTTGTACCATCTGCGAAAAGCTGTCGAAAAAGTAGCCCAGGTCTCAAATGGCTGAATTGGACTGGACCATCGCCGATGGCTGGCTTCCTTTGCTGTGGTCGTTAGGTTCCCATTCCCACCAGAACCCAAGTCAGAGATCAGAGTTATGGAACCCCAAACCACCATTTTCCATAGCCCGCCCGCTTTCGGGTCCGAGGGGAAATACAGGGACTCCCTGAAGAGATGTCTTCTCTTGGTCCATTTCTTTCGGGAAGTGTGTGGCAACCATCTCGCTTGTCAAGCAAAAATCTGAGGGGCCTTTAGGACCGTTGAAGTCCTGAAGCGACCTTTTAACGGGAGGGTCATAATTCTGTCAACCAGCCCTGGACAACACAAGACTCCACTCTCAGAAAGTGGAAACATCGATTTAGCGTCGGCAGCGATGTTGGCGCAAGTTTTGGTGCTATTACTACTGGGCTGCCCTCAGATCCCCAGCTAAAAGTTTAAGTTTTAGTGGGTTAAATGGAAACTACACAAAACACTAAAAGGCTAAACAGCTAAGGGGATGGCTGGGAGCCTTGACGCAAGGCCTGACCAGATTCCAAGATACCTCCCTTGGAGGCCGGCAGCGCCATGTTAGACCCCCAAAAAAAAACGTCAGGGCATTCCAACCAAGGGATTGAACACGTGCTAAGAGCTGCTCTCCAAAAAGCACCTCAAGTGTTGGCATACGTACTCTTTTGGACTGTGAATCTCCACATTGCGGCTCGTCCCAAATGGAAAAACATTTGCCAAATTTTTCCAGTGAGGAGGGAAGAAAAGAAGACGTTGTACCCAGCTGAAGAAAGCGCATGAGCTGAAGACAACTGGTTTTGTTAGCTGTCCTTTGTGTTTGGCAAGTCCAACAAGTGCTGAGACACCCAGGAAAAAGAGGCCACTGGAATGTGTCCGAAACCAATATACAACAGATCCTCCCAACCCCACTTCTTGATCAGTCGCTCGAATGTAAGAAGCAAACTTCCACACCGAGCTCTGCATCCCGAGATGCGGTACTCCGTACGCAGCTGCTGTCGCACGATGATCTTGTTGATGTCATTGAACCTCAGTCCCAGTCCATGGCTGGTCACTGCCAAACGCTCGGAAGGCCTTGCAAAGCACCGCAGCCAAAGCCCCGGTCGCGACAGCTGTCGAAGCAGGTCAGGGTCTTTTCTAACGATTCTGGTTCCTTTCGGCAGGTCCGTGTTTGTACCTTTTTTTTCCCAGGGCTCGTCCTTGCTTCTTCTTTCTTTTTTTTGCGCGGCTTCCAAGGGAACACGGGAAAATCCAGCCATTTCGGGGGTCGAGCCTGAAAAACAAGGACGAGCCACCCATGATAAGGAGCCCCAGTCAGAGGGGAGACGTCTGCCTGGCTGTTGGGAACCCGGACCCCGGTTTCCGCACTCGACTGGGCCCAGGGCTCGTTCCAGTCCTCGTCTTCATCGTACATGTCGCGGTACAAAGGCTCGAACTTGGGACCACCTGGCGGTGTTGGGGGACAATGGGCACCCAAGGGGTACCACAACTCTCAATACGGTAGGCGAATGAATGCCGTTTTTTGGACCAAGATCCCTTGGATCCAAGATGTGTAGAAACTGTTGGGGGAACTCTTGGATCCATGCATTTCCCCCCCCCAAAAAAAAATCCATACGGCATTCATACCCATCTGGGCAATTGCGAGTATTGAATCAAGAAAACACGTGTTTCTTTTTTATGCGAGAGGTACTCAATTGTTATCGTTTGTCCAGAGAAACTTCTCAGAGAACTTGCGCAACTACTCTAAGCAAAAACGCGCGGCTAAAGTGCCGTGCAGACATTCTCTTTCGTACAACAGAGTACATCATATTTTTCTGTCCACCTGCCTTTTTGCTTGCTGTATTTGTGTGCAACTGGTTTTGGCGTTGGGCCAATTTCTATGATTTCCCAAGGCTTCTAGCATGTCTACGTTTTCTTGGAATGCTTGTTTTCTTAGAATGTTGCAGTGTCCTCCCTCCACAGAGGACATTGCTTTCATAGCGCGAAAATAGTCAAACCACTACAGCCTGTCTGCTCAACACAGCCAATCGATGGCAACTGCTGCAAAACACCCGGGCGTAGCATATGAATACGATGGTGTATACATATCTATCTATCTATCTATCTATCTATCTATCTATGCAGAAAAATAACGTACTAACGTACCAACAATATTTGCCTCTAGGGTTATGGTTTGGACCCACCTGATGACCTTGGGCCTTGAGCTCGGCCTGAAACCGAAACTTCACCCGAAGGGTCACCTGAGTCACTGGAGCGGCAAAATTCTGTGGGTGCTACGGAGGCCAGAAGCAAACGGAAAAACCACATCTTTCGGGGTGCCAAGGGCGGCCAGCGGTGAAGCGTGAAACCCAAACCGGTGGAAAGCCCACGCCAACCTCGCTTTGGACTCTCCACTTCTACGTCTTTGTCACCTTCCCCCCATTCCTGGCGCTTTCCGCTCGCCCGCCCGGCGAATCATAAAAATCTGGCCTGGGATGGCCATGTTCAGGGCCTTGGCCGTGTAGAAGGACTTCTTTTCGAAGAGGTAGAAATAGTTCCTCGAGAGAGAGAGAGAGAGATCGACTGGCCTTTGCTTTTTTGCCCCCTTGAAAAAGTTGAAATAGCCAGTAGTGATACATTCCCTTTAAAGCCAACACGGGAAAAAACACTTAAGCAAATGGACGTAGACTGCCAGTTGTGCAGTGGGAGTCCTTTTTCCCACCACATCTCTTCAGTGTCAGCGGGAAAAAAAGGAAAACAACTGTCTCACTCATTAAAGCAACTGTTGCTACGCAAAGCTCGGGGCGGCCCCCTCAGTTCAAACACCCGGGCCGCTACTAGCCGGCACCGTGAGATATGAAATGGGGTTAAGCCGATTTGTTTCCGCTGCCTTTGCGGCGTCCACCTTGGCGTGCAAATTGACATCTGGGAAGTGACTTCCCAACCCTTGGTATGGTAGCAGAAAACTGTCTTTCTTGCAGCCCACTTCTAAGAATGAGCAGAACCTACAGGCCTCAATCATTGATCTTCCTGATTGCCCTTGTTCTTTCTTCCTAGCTGGCCTGCTTCCGAACCCGGCTTCGAATATCGACTGACCTTGACTGACTCTTGCGCGATGAGAGGCTGCTCTATGGCCTTTGCATGTAACCGCAATCCCAGGGGGTCCTTGTTGAAACTTGGGTGTGAGCTGTTTTAGAGTACCGTTTTTGGGCTGAGCTAAAAGGAAATCCACAAGGAAACCAACCATTTTGTAGGTCCCCCTATTGTGAGACAAACCCGCATGTTTAAGCCGGATTTGACGAAACAACCGTGTGTTGGTTTCCTGTTGGGGGCCCTTTACAACTTTCTGTTACATCCAGGGCGCCTGTCCATCAGATCGGACAGCAGCTGGTTGGACAAGCGGTACAGCACGCCTGCGCGTCGAGCAAATAGCCAGACAGATTGACCCCAAAACAGCAACAACTGTTTGCTTAAATGGAAAAATAGAGGAATCCCAAAAGGCTAAGTCTGGCAATGAACACTCCCAATCCGTGACACAAGGCCATGCCACAAATTGTGTGTAAGACTTGATCTGAAAATCCCTGTTCTATCCAACAATTGAGGGTACTGCAATGATATCAAGGGCTCTTTCCAAGGAACACAACATAATGCCATCTTCCATGTTAATTCTGGCTTCTTCATGTGAGCAGATGCGTCCAAACAAACAAACAAACAAACAAACAAACAAACAAACAAACAAACAAACAAACAACAAACAAACAAACAAACACAAGCAAGTAAGGAAGGAAGGACGAAAGCAAGCAGGCGCGCAGGCAGGCAAGCAGGCAAACACAAAAACGCAAACAAACACAGGAAAACAAACATGAGCAAACACACAGACAAAAAGAAACAACAAGAAGGAAAAAAACAAGGAAACGAGAAAACAGACATAGCAAAAAGAACAGAACTAAGGAAATAAAGAAATAAAGAAGAAAATAAAAAAGAAAAAAGAAAAGGACGGAAATAATAAAGGACAGAAATAATAATAAGACAAAGGAAAAAAAAAAAGAACAAAGGAAAAATAATGAAAGAAAGAAAGAAAGAAAGAAAGAAAGAAAGAAAGAAACAAAGAAAGAAAGAAAGAAAGAAAGAAATAAAGAACAGAAGAAGAAAGATAGAAAGAAAGACACACAGAAAGAACTAAGAAAAGAAAGAAAGAAGGAAGGACATAACTTTAGGGAAAAAACTTAAAACATGACCACAACCGCAATTGCTGCTACACTTAGCCCAAACAATATGGTAACAATACGATACAATGCAATATCAACGAAATGCATAACAAGCAAGCACAACAGGCAAGCAAGCAAGCAAGCAAGCAAGCAAGCAAGCAAGCAAGCAAGCAAGCAGGCAGGCAGGCAGGCAGGCAGGCAGGCAGGCAGGCAGGCAGGCAGGCAAGCAAGCCGGCAAAAGAAAGAAGGACAGAAATAAACAAACAAAACTGGTAAACTAACAAGCAAACAAACAACCCAAGCAAAACAAACGGACAAACAATCGCACGAGCGAAGACACAAGCAACCAACCAACAAAACAAAACAATGGCGGCGCGAAACGAAACAAAACAATGCAATACAAACACACGACTTGCAATACAGTAGAAACAACAGCCACACACACAACGCAAACAAACCAAACCACGCAAAACAGGCAAAGTAAGGCCTGGCAAAGCACAAGCAAGTGCTTTGCTTTGCGCACTATTCACTACAATTCTACTGCAACCGTTGAGACTTGTTCTGTAGGTGTTGGCCAAATCGCTTTCTGCCGAGATCCTCGCGCTTGTCAGTTGACTCGAATCAGCCAATCTCGAAGAGGTCACTGTCCAATGCTTCGATCAATGCCGGAAAGCACCAAGAACAGACCAACAAAGCAAAACTGCTAGGCGACAACAAGGAGGGCTCCAACGTGAAAATGTCTTCTTCGGCCTTGCTGCGCCAAGGAGAGGTGCCACTTCCTGTAGCTGCTGCCGTTCACATGCTTGGTGTTCAGCAGAGGCACCTAGGCTGTTCAAGCTACTCGGGATGATTCTCTAAGTCTAGACCGATGTGTGTTGTTCGATACAGGTTCAGGCACAATCAAAGCCCCAGCAAAACAAAGAGCAGCCGCTGACAAATGATGAGTTGATAGAAACCATGCATGTGGCATTCGGCCGCACTCTGTGACCGCTCTCGCAAAAAAAAAGGAAGAGGTGTTTCCCCTGACAAGGAAGCCCCTCAAGCCTCAGAAAGGCTGTGGAATGGCTTCACAGTCCTAGTCATGGCTGCCGCCTGAATAGCAACCCACTTCAATCCAGCCATGGGGGTTGGGGGTTGGGGGTTGGGGGTTGGGGGTTGGGGGTTGGGGGTTTCGACCCTGGTAGAAGAAGGAAACGGATACCGATCAGTAAGAATCCCACCAAACAATAAGACCAGCTGGTATCCACAGCCCTTGAGCCTGCTGCAACCGAATCTCTGGACACCCCGGAGCTAATTTGGGCACCAAACCTTTCATTACGCTGAGCAGCTGATATGGATGCAAGCAAGAAGAAACATATCCAAAACCCTTGCCCTGATTTCTCCAAGGAAATGCCTCTGTGGAAAATTCGACAAAGCTGTCCCATTCGAAGTAGCCATAAAAAATGGCCCCTAGGCCAAGGGCCTATGGCTTGGTCGAATATACATAATGCCTTATGGCTTCCTTTGGAGGATTCCCCAAAACCGGTTCATTCCCAACACCCGGGCTCGGTCATTCCCTACCCATTGCACCAGCCACACAAAAAGGACAAGCCATGATTTCCTGGTCAGTAGGGAATGACCTTCCGGGTGTTGGGAATAATCGGTTTCAGGAGACAGCCCTGGTATCGCAGAAAGCTGCGCCCCTAAATCCCCGAGGAACGCCGCTTGCCACATGCCCAAGTGGCGAGCAAAAACCCAACTTTCTGCAACGCCCCTCTTGGGCACAAGGCAACCGAATTGGGGTGAAACATGGACCACTCTTCGCCGGCCCCGATTTTTGTTTCATGGGGTCACTCAGGGCCCGGCGGGCTCATAGAACCACTCAAGCACCGGCTCATCCTCCACCGGGTCCAGCCTGGCAGCTTGCAAAAGGAGGGGGGGCAAGGGCACGCTTTGCAGTTGGAAGAACAGAATGATCAAAGTTGTTGGCTTCGCCCTTACCATAGTAGCAACCGAGCCACCTGCAAATTTGATTGGGGTGTGTCAATGATATTGCTTTCGATTTTCCTTGAAACCAACCCCAAACAAGGCTGGATTCGGACAGTCAAACAGCGGCTTTCCTTTGGTATGTTCTTTCCAACCCCCTTTTCCCTCAAACAGCGGCTTTCCTTTGGGCCTCTCTTTCATCCAAACCCCTTTTTGAGTTGGCACCGGGCCCCCCCACAAAAAAAAAAATCAGCACCACGAGGCACCCGCCACGCCACGTCTCGTTTCGGCCTCATCTGGATGGCCTCCAGCGGCTCCACGTCCAGGACGTTGTCCCCGTAGTCCAGCGGCGGCTCCTCGTCGTCGAAGGGCGGGAAGCGCATGCGCTTGAAGTGGCGCCGGTCTCCTGGGCACAACGCCAACCGACTGCAAATCAGAAGTGAGGGTTCTCAAACAGACCGCAAATCAGTGGGGGTTCTCGGAAGTGAGTGACCCGTTCGAACGGGTTCTGACACATGAGCTCCTTTCGCAACTTGGAGGTGGGCGTGTGGGTCTTCTTGAGGAACCAGCGAAAATGGTCTGTCTTCAAGGGGATTCAATATGGAAACCAATCTTTGGAGGGGTCTCCTCACACAAGGGCTGGGTTTCTCACAACCCAAGTGAGTGACCCTGAATGGGCTCCGACAAATGAGTTCCTTTCGCAACTTGGATGTGCGCGTGTGCGTGTGCGTGTGCGTGTGCGTGTGCGTGTGCGTGTGCGTGTGCGTGTGCGTGTGCGTGTGCGTGTGCGTGTGCGTGTGCGTGTGCGTGTGCGTGTGCGTGTGCGTGTGCGTGTGCGTGTGCGTGTGCGTGTGCGTGTGCGTGTGCGTGTGCGTGTGCGTGTGCGTGTGCGTGTGCGTGTGCGTGTGCGTGTGCGTGTGCGTGTGCGTGTGCGTGTGCGTGTGCGTGTGCGTGCGTGTTCGTGTGCGTGTGCGTGTGCGTGTGCGTGTGCGTGTGCGTGTGCGTGTGCGTGTGCGTGTGCGTGTGCGTGTGCGTGTGCGCGCGCGCGCGCGCGCG